CACTGCACTCTACCTTTGAGTGCTGACAAGAAGCCAAAGCGCCAGCACAGCAGCTCTCACAACGCATTTCTACCTGCCTAGGACTTCACCACCCTCTCTTGCAGAAAGTGAACTTGCAATTCTGCCAAGTAAAACAGACCCACAGAAGAGAACACTAAAAGTCATTTAAAACTACATGTTTTACTGCACTGGAGCGAAGACAGAACGGTCACACTGGCAGTTACATCTCCATAGAAGAGCAGTAAACCACAGCCAAGGGACAGCCAAACTAAAAATCACAAGCACTCATTCGATTGCTTTCAACAGCACCTGATCAAGACAGCAGGAGCCCTGGAGTGGAATTTCAGATTAAAGTTAAATTTCCGGCTCTGAGAAAAACTCCCTGTGGAATGACAGGCAAGTCACCTTTTCCACACACTACCTGAATCCCCTCCCCTCTAAAACAGACACTGTTCCTACTTGTCTATTTAAGTTACAAAGCACTCCTGTCAGGGATTACTTTAAGAATGCAAGCACATAAACCCAGCTGAGCTGAACTGTGATCTCAGCTGGACCTTCTCATTGGCTTTGTAATATTATAAAGTAAAAAGCAAGGCTGAGCCTACACCATAATTCAGCCACTGGACAGCATTTTGGTAGCAGATGAACCATAATTTTTGGGAAACAGTGAGCTGCAGGTCCAAAGATGGAGCCAGGCAACAATCTGAGGGATTAAAATGAATCACCAGTGCCTGCACTCCTTCACTAGTGACTAGTGAGCTGCAAATGGACATATTTCAAATCCATTTCAGATACTCCACCAAGTGATGATGCAGGTGTTTAGGAGTACAAATTAAAATAACTTGTAACTGTGCTCTCAACCATAGCATCAAGTGCAGGGAGTGCAGGAAAATACTGAAAATTACATCCAAGAATAGGAATTCTGCAGAGCTCTCTGCTTCACAGCATAAAGAAGCAGTTTCTCCCAATCTTTCAAAGGAGATGGCAAGTGAGAAACTATCAATACCTGCTGAGAAAATTTTCCCAACTCCATGTTTTGAGAAATTCACATTTGTTATCAGAAGCGCAGCACAAGGCAGGGCCTCAGATCAGAGCTCCCCTACAGAGTGTGCAGTCCAAAAGAAACAGGGTGGAATGGAGAGGAGCAGAATAAATTGGGAGCATGTGAAAAACAAAAACAAATAAAGAAACCCCCCCAAACAACTAGTCATGTGAATTTCTAATTAAAACATTCATAATCATCCCAATGATTATTTGGATGGCAGTTGAATTTCTGCCCCCAGTCTGGCCAGAGTACTAGTAGAGTTTCTCAGGCTTGTAAAGCCAGTCTTAGCTGCAAAAACACTGTGGGAAGCACAGACCAAGCAGCAACTAGCATAAACAGTACATGCCCACAACTCTTCCAGGCTTTCTGTATCTCAAAGACACACAAAATGTTCTTTGTTTTGTCTTGCATCAGGGATGTGTCTTCCTAGAACCAAGTACTTTCATAAAGCAGGGCAGACCAATTCTTTATTGAAGTACACTCAATCCTTAATCATTCCCTTTCTATGGCTACAAACCTGTTTTATTCCACCACCTGGAATCAGTTTTGTGCAATAGAACACATTTATGAGCCTCTCTTATGTGATCGGGTTGGTTTCCCATCTGCAATTTTTCAATATCCAGGTACTACCAACTCCCTAAGTACAATCAACACCTGTTTCACTCACCCCAAAAATGCTCTTATTTTAGTACACCTGACCCGCTACAAGCATCAAACCAAGACTGCAGCCTTCTGTATCCAGCTATCATGCTGCTACTCTCTCCTGGGTTTGCACTGCAACCCAGATCTACTGCTCTACGCCCATCTTAACTGCTAGCTCTGCTCCGCTGGAGACAGGCAGCCAGATACCTGCAGCTCGGTTCTAGCCCGTCTTGTCTGAACCATCACAACAGTCATCATTGCCTCTCTGAAAGTACATATATGCTACTGCTGTCCAGAGACACAAATCATCTCCTTACTCTCTAATGCTGAGCACAGAAGTGATTCCTCAGGATCTATGCTTCTGTTGGGAGGACAAAAAGTATTTCCTCCTCCCCGAGATGGAAGAGAAAAAGCTAGACTCCAAACTCATCCTGTGGAGAAGGGAGCACAGTATGCTCTAATACCCTCTACAGCCCAGCAGCTGCATGCCAGCAGGAGCATTCTCCCTTGGAGGGCAGTTCCTCTATGCCATTTCCTGTAACACAGGCCTCAAGCATAGCACCAAAGTGCAGGGGGATGCACCTCTGCTACCAGCTGCGTTAAAGATTATATCTTCTTGTCTCCAGGACAGAGGTTTGTACCTTCTGTGCTGCTACTGGGAGAACTCCTAGCCCATTTCAGGCAAGGCAAGCTGACTTAGCAGAGACCTGCTACTTATTGGAGGGAACATGGCTGGAAGGGATTGCACAGAACTAAAACAAGCACTAGTGCTGCAGGCTATGGCATGCTGAGCTCTAGACAGTAGCAGCATCTGCCTTCATCACCAACACCATTGATGAATGTCAAACAAACCTTAGTAACCTAGACCAAACGGTAGATTTTCTTCTGACCTCATTCAAACAGAAGAAGAAGAATTGACATCTGTGGTGTGTGGCTCTTCACATCAGTTACCATCAGAGCAGCAAGGCTTATGCCTGTTCTCAAAAGCCAATTTGCAACCCATAAATTAGAGCAACAAGCTTGTAAAGGTATGCTGCTTTAGAGATGGGATCAGTAAATGTACATTAGTCAGCCTTTGTTTGGGACATCTATGAAACTCTGCTCTCATCCACCCCAACCAGCCTTTTAAATTAAGTCTCAGCAACATTTCTAAAAAAGAACTTACTTTCATATTGACGATAATCTGTCTTATCACACTGATCTGCCCATGCTGATTTTTGTTCTGCTAAGGCTTTATTCAAGGCCCTGCTATATGAAAAGTCAGGTCTAGTGATATTACATCAGTTAAAGGAAGATTTCTGTCCTTTCCTATGAGCAGACTGCCCACATAGGCAGCTAATTTCTCTTACGTATCAACATATGTCCATCTAACAGGTAAGAAACACGTATGCAGCAGCCTTTCCAGGACTTCCTTACAACTCAGTCTGAGGGTAAATGTTGAGAGTAGGTTACCAGTGGCTGTTGCAGCCTGCCACCCACTGGCCTCCAGAAGCGTGATCTGTGCTGACTTATTTTCCAAATCAACACTCTGAAGAGGTCACTGCAATGCACTCTGCTAGCAATAGCTGACACATAACAGCTTCCTTCAGAGCAACAGCAGTATTGTCGCAGACTGCTTTATAGCTACCATTTCTTGCAGTTATTGTAAATTACCTATAACTACAATAACTACAACATCAGTATAAAGCCATAATTACATCCACTCAAAGTATTTTACATATTTTCAATCTGTTCAGACTAATGCTCTAATTGAGATATATCAAGAATTTAGAGTGCAAACCACACAAGAACAAACATCTCATGAAAAACCTCTAAAAGGATATTTGAAAGAGAAAAAGGGTGTCTCAGCTTCAAACACATTGTTAATGGCAGTGCATGAAGCCCAGCATAACCTGGACTGCTTCTGGAGTAAGGACAAAGTATTGCTTGCAATGTCAAAACCAGCTGCAGCCTTTCTCTGGGAGAAGTAAGAAAAGCCTTTGAACCAAGTTGAAGTAGTTTAGGATAAACTCAGAGCTCAGCTTCTTAAGTTGAAGACAGTTAGGTGCATAGGCTACTGACTGATTCACAAAGATCACCCAGCTACTGGAGCTGGTTCAGAAAGACCCAGTATAGACCAATATTTTACTGAAAAACAGCATAAGCAAGGTGCTACTTCTCCCATGTAATAGGCAGTAAGTACAAGAGGACATGAAGCAACCATGACTCCAAACAGTTACAGCATGCTCGGAGAAATTTATCCTGGCACAGCTGGAGCATAGGGTGAAGCAGTCAGAAGTGAGAGTGTGAAGCACAGCATGCCTCTTTAGGAAAGCCAAAGTTTTGCCAGCATAAATCGTTCGGTTTGGGTCCAGTAATTGCCCCAAGACAAGTGGTTAGGAGCTTATAAGAGATCTGTCAGCTATCAGCTATATAGAGGTCACATATGCACAAGCAATGTGTTTATGGCAAGCAACTACAAGTTGAAACTGTTCCTGCCAAACAAAGGTAAAAGGAGACATTTCAGACATTTTTCAGCTAGACCTCTGCAGGATGGTGTGGCTGGTAAGAGCTGCTCAGTTTTCATGGGATACCAAGAAGAAAAAGCAATAGGTCACAGGAAAGAAAACTATTGAACAATCCTTAGATACTGCCACTGAGGTGCCCATTCTCAGAGCTTCTCTGGTTGAAGCTGCTTCAGGCAGTCTGCCCAGAGCACAAGTACAGAGCCTACTTTCACATGAAACTAAGCAAGGTTGAGACACTCATGTAACTCCAAAAGTTGCCTTTAGAAGGATATGACTCACTGACCTATATCCACATATGCAAATGATAGTAAACTGTCAAAAGATGACCCTGGGGCTTACAGCCTGAGCTGCCTCTGCTATGGCAGTGTGCACCCATTTGGCCATGCAACATTTCAAGAGATTTATCTTATGGATGACTGTCTAAGGCTGTGCTTCCAGAAGCCCTGAAGTTTTAAACAGCCTCCTGGTGCTAGCAGGAGGTGTAAAGACTACTATACAATACTTCATCTTTTGTCAATGTGAAGGAGTTCAAGCTATCTATATGTATCAGTGCTTTTGAAAGGCTTGGTTTCCTCATGTGCAGCATACTGGAAGTAAAAGCTACAGACACCCACTCAAACAGCAACATTACTGGAAGTCCACACATTTCATGTCAACATTCATTCCAAGAACAATCCTATTGTGTCAAATATTTATCTCTAGTTATCCGAAGAGCTCCAATTGATGAGCAATTTCTGGTAGTTCTGTGTCTGAAGCCTGTTTTGTCATTTTAGATCCCACACAAATTCTTGCCATACAACAACGGCTTGTTGTATCAGACATCTTTATTTGCTGTATTGCCCAAGTGTACAAATAGTGAATGCAGTTATAGAAATTCAAAATATACTGTAGTAGAAATCTGTCTGGGAAGTGGAATGTTAAGATATTTACTTTATAAAATTACTACACTTAAGTCACTTCCATTTGCAAGTTTCAAATATATCAGGGCCATGAAGAGGCAGATAATGACCCAAAACAAAAAAAAAAAAGTTCACAGTACACTTTTTCTGCTAGATGAAGTCAGTCAACAGCAAATTAATTTCTTATATTTGACTCATTTTGAGTTATCAGCCAACAGGATGTTAGCTACATCCAGACAATTCATACATAATTCAGCTCTCATTTATAAAGTCAATGTATTGCTATCAACATATTTAAGTATTAGTCAAACAGAATCTCAGTGACAATATTTATTTTAAGCTAATGAAGTCAAGCCAATAAGTTGCCCCTGGCCATTGAGTGCAATTGATGCTTTTGTCACATTTTCAGAAAAAGGCGCCTTAGCTCTTGAACAAGTCAATACAGCTTTGCAGGAGAGAAACATTATTCTGGAAAGGAAGAGAATTAGTTTCAGATGAGTATAATTAATAATTTAAATCCTGCCTTTCACAATGAAGATGCTTCCGAAATAGCAGGTCCATCCCAGGATTCTGTAGCCTGTGCCAATGCTAAAGATCTTCTACTGCAAAGACAAGCGTTCAAGCAGTAAAAAAATCAAAACCAGATGATAGTTTGCAATCTACCTCTTCCTGCAGGCCTTCAACCATGACTCAGTTTGTGATAAGGAGAGGGGCAAGAGGCAGCAGTAAACTTTTAAAGTGGGCCAAACTGAGCAGTAACGTCAAGTCGTTGGTGTCACATTGCAGTTCAGCACTGAAGTAGCTACCTGTGGTAAAGTCCAGTACTCTTAGGGAGTGAGACATTAGACTTTCATTCTTCAAAAGAAGCTGAGGATGCACAGTTACCTCTTCCTGCTTTGTTCCCTATACTAAGTTAACAAACCCCATAACTTGTGTATACTTTCCTAGATTAAGCTGTGGTCCCTGCAGCAACCTTCAAGCCTGCTCAGTGAAGCTTAATAGAGGCTACTACTAAGCCAGTGTCCCCTTTCAGTGACAAGCCAAAGTGAGAATGATTGACAGCTGGATCACAAGCTACAGGATGTGCTCTCACAGCGCACAGGAGCACTGGAAACAGCAGCTGCCTCCAGACACAGTCAAACCCAAAGACGAGGTTGCCTGATGGGAAGTCAGGTGACCTGTTGTGTACTACCAGCAAAACTGAGACTTCTCACTTACTGCGGTAGGCTAGTGTCCTAGGAGTGACAGCTTGAATGCAGACTTTCTGCATGGGACAGATAAAACTGTCAGCATTTGTTCTTTCTATGCACTTTGTACACACTATGCCTACAGCTTCTCCTCTTAAGATCTCAGCTGAAGAGCCTAGCTGTTCTATTTCACACTTCCTAGTTTTAAAGGGAACCCAGCAAATCGTCCAAGTTACGCAGTACTTACTTCTCTGAACCTATGCCTGTTAAATTCCAAATAGAACACACCTTTGCATGTTTTATTTCCAGTTCTGCCATTTCAATTAAGTTTTTGCGGAATGCTGCTATTCTCTTCTGCTTGAAGCTCATCAGTTCTGTAGAGAAGAACATAGGTAAGACATATAGAAAATGTGACAAGTTTCAGTAATGCCCCTTATGTTTCACGAGTTCTGTTATGCAGCTCTAGTTACGGTATTTGACAAAAGAAAAAAAAGGTTCAAGAGTTAGTCCTGCTGTTTTCTAGACAGAGATTCATTCATCACATGACACCAACATCTTGGTGAGGAAACAGGCAGCCTAAGAGAGAAAAGCTTTGTAGGAAGACAACTGGAGTAAAACAGTAATAAGCCACACAAGCTCTGTGAGAACACAGAGCATTTAAAAGCCAAATACACTGAAGGAAGAGGACGTGTGCCATGAAAGCACGTTTCCTCTGCTTTATATTGTCCATATATATATATATATATATATATTCTTCTATGAAGAACCAATGTTTGAAACTCTGTATTCAGTTATACTGGGACAGAGCAAAAGTCTGTTTGCACGGTTCTGACTGAGACAATTAGAACCCTGAGTAGTTACCTTCAGGTGGAGGCCGAGATCAGGAGTTCAACCTAGAAAGCAAATACTAGGGGCTTATAAATAAGGCTGGTCTAGTACTGACACTGCTCTGCTAAAGAGAATGGTTTTAAAAAATGTTTAGCTGTTTTAGTTTTACAGGCATCTATACTGCCCTGCAAGGTACTACTTGTTTCAGGAGAGTGTTCAGAAGCCTGCAGCAGTTGAAGGTCAGATGGAGACCCAGACTGCACTAAGATCTCCTTTTAAGCATAAATACAGCAATGCCTGTTTTACCTTGTTTTGCAGATTCTGAAATCTTTTCAAACTTCTGACAACAATCCTGTTGATGTGCCTCGGCCAGCCCGACATCCTTGCTCTTTAGTCTGGCTTTATCTAGAGCTTTGTTCGAGTTTTCATAGTCAACAAGAGCCCTTGTTCGTCTGTACAGAAGATCCTGAATGTAGACAGAAATAGCACATCAAAACCTTAAGAGGAATACTTCCCAAACTGAGGTTACAACTACCTTAGCAGCAAGAGGTTTCATTTCTTTCAGCACCAGATTCTGCTTCCTTCAATAAGCTATTACAGCCTGCCACACTCTTGGCATAGCAATAGGTGCCTTTCACCAGTGTAGTACTAAATTTTCAGGACAGCCACTTATGCCTTAGCCAAGGAATTCTGATGCCTACTGTAGGCATAGTTTTTTCCCTTAAAGTAGTTTATCTTGCTACAAGGTGAGTTACCCCACTAAGGAGGAACAGCATTTTCTGAATTCCCTCAGTCTACTTCTGGTAGACATTTAATTTGTTGGAGATCTGACAGTTTGACTGAAGCACTATACTAACCTAGACATGAGACATAGTACAGGTCTGAGTCAATTCCTTTCTAATCTAGCAGCAGTGTAGTCTTGATATCTAAATAACAGTACACCACACGGTGGGAGCCTGTAGTGAACGTTCTAGGATTTCTGACATTAAAAGGTAAGACACTAGATGAAGAAGCCCAATAAGTTATACCTGGATACCTTTTTTCAGCATAGACACTCCCATGTCAAATGAAGTATTGATTAGAAAAGAGTTGCTGGCAAGGCTTTTGCAGTTAATCAATCTACCAAAGTGCTCTTGGAAGTCCAGGTTCCAACAGCCTTCACATTGTACAGCATATTTGTGCTAAGGTACTTCAAAAATCCTGAAGCACGTCCCAAGTACTAATTAGTCATCATTGATTTTATGACAAGTCCATGAGTATTCAGGCAGGGGATGGGAAAGAACGCTGCTGCAGACTTAAATTCAGTTTGCTCTAACTTACAGAAATTTAAGAGTTCTTCCACTACAAAAACTGGGCCAAGATCTCCTGTAAGTGGCTGGACTCCAGATAATATATAGTTTCTATATTTTGCTGTGGTTCAAGAGTGTCAGGTTTCTTAGGCAAAACAATGGCTCATCTTCCTGTCTTCTTAAAGCACAAAGAATATCATGCATGAGTCATGATGCCTATAACAAAACAGCTTCAAAAAGAAAACTGTTCTCACCTTAGCAGCTTCTATATTGAGCATGTAGTATCTCAACAGTTCAGAAAGCTTTAAGTCTTCATCAGATGAAACTCTGCTCTCTACCTTCTGCAGAAGAAATAAAAATAGTTGGTATGGAACAGGTAACAGCAACATACATATTCTTTCCCCCTACCCCACCCCCTGCCAAAGTTTTCCTTACCCTGAGTTTCTCAAAGAGCTCTGCAACTTTCAACAAGTACCTAAGTGGGGGGAGGGAAAAAAAAAAACAACCATAAGTAAGGCTTAGATACTTCTTAGTCTGAAAAACAGCCAGGATCAATTGCCAGGAGACCAAAAAGCTGAAGGCTAGAGTTTTCTCCTGCATACAGATCCAGACAAGTGTTTGAAATGAATTTAGGTCTAGGCAAAGACCTGGACAAAAGGTTCAATGTGCTGGATTCCAGCCTAACAGCTGAGCAGCTAGACATCATTTAAAGCAACAATGCTAATCTTCAGGGCATAAAGGTCTTGTGGAGAATTTCCTTGCTGCTATCCTCCAAGAGGGATGAACCAGCTTGTTTCTTCAGCTATACACTCTGTTTTAACAAGGTCTTGATAAATTGACAGCAAAGTTGAAAGGTGGAATTCACCTCAGAAAAGGTAACTAGGTTTCTACAGCTTAAAAAAATCCCTGCTATGCTGGAACTGCAAAGGTCTAGAAGATAGTACAGACTTAGTGCAAGCTGTGGTTATATTTAACAGCACACCAGAACACATATGCATAAACCCTTTCTCCAGTAGTCTCTGGGAGTTTATGACCTGAAAAAATGCAAGGAAATTTCTGCTAAGAAGCAGCTTTGACAACCAGCACAATTCTGCTCCAGGGCACAACTGGCAAGAGATCAACTAGTTAAGTTGCAATTGATAACATTAGGTCTGCCGCACCAGGAGTGCTAGAGGAAAGAGTTTTAATGCTGCTTGCCTGCAATTCAAGAAACTCAAACCAGTTACGACTCAATCCTCTGGATTTTACAGAAGAAACTTGGTATTCCCAGACTCAGGATATGTTTATGAACAGTTTGAATTACTTACTTTTTGATAGCTGTAGGTTCTTCCAATGCCAGGCTGTTCAAGCAAGTTGAAGTATAAATATAATCATCTGCAACATCTGCAAGAACAAGACAAGGTTTTCAGGCTGAAATCAGCAAAACTGCATGATTTCTCAAAGGTCTTTGAAAAAATTCACTTTTATGAGATCTTGTCATCTTATCTGCTTTTGCACATGCGTCCTTGATTCTGTTGTAGTAGTTCACAAGAAAAGTCTTCTCTTGCTCAAAAAAATCTTCTACTTCCTGAAAAAGAGTATGACCTGTTAAGTTAGTTCCTGCAGAATACAAAGTCTTCCCTATTTTGGGAAGGGCCAAAGAAACAACCATAGCCTGGACCTGAGCATAGGCCCACCAAATGGCTATTGAAAAACTGAGTTCAGGGCAAGATCCTGAGAAAAGGGGTTAACACACCAAGCCATTTGGCAAGTTTCTTTTACACTGTGTGGTGAAAATGAAGTTGACACTCAAGTATTCACTGATGCAGACTGTCTGAAGCAACCAGTGAGTTACTACCAGACAGTCCTCAGGGCTACCAACTGTTGGAATTTTATTTCCTAGGCCTGCTGCAACACAGCAGCTCAGGAGTAAACAGTTTACAAGCTTGCTTCACATCCACATCAAATATGATACATATTGTAACATTTCGTGACATTGTCTTTAGGACAGCAAACCTATTGGGAAGAGCTACCACGGCAATGTGACAGAATAAGCTGAACCTGGACCAGTTACAGTTTTTAGTATTTGATCTTGTCTAGTGCAAGCAGAAACCCATAAATTCAGAGCTCCAAAGTAGACAAAAGCCACAAGCATGTTTGCTGAAGGTGTAATTCCTTCCTCCCCACCAGAATCAGGTGTTAAGGCAACTCTTTTGCATCCACCAGAAACCTGAAGTATACACTGAAATTTAACAGCCTGTAGCTCCAATGTCTTATTTTTACAGAAGTCAAAATTAATACAGGCTAGGACAGCAGTAACAAGGCAGGCTGACATTAGTAACTGAGCCTCATGCACATCAAGCCTGAAGCAGACATGAGTAACTTCCCTGGAGCAAAAAGCACAAAACAATCAAGACTGTAAGAGGTTAACCAACAACCTTACCTTGACTCCAGAGAAAAGGACCTCATCAGCACTCTTTACTACACTTTTTAAAAAGCCACCAAACATCTCTTTAGTGTTTTTCCTCCGAACACTCAGCTGCAACAGAGAGGCAAAAACATCTTTAAAGTCATCCCCAGTGGTGAAAAAGTGACTATTTTGACTCTTGAAATGTAATAACATCATTTACACCTAGTATATATCAGAGCAGATTGATTTCCAAGTCCTCCACAGTAACAGCATAACGAATGTAACAGGTAACAAAAAGATTGGCTAGAAGAAGTTCAATTATCCTGTGCCACAGATTTGTTCTCATTCCCAAAAACAGCTTGGTTCCTCCTTACATATTGTGCTGGTTTTAAAAACCAGCTAGAAAATTAAATCCCAGTCAAGCTGCTCCCTTTCTGCCCCCCAATACCTCTCCCGGTGAGAGGGAGATAAAAACCAGAGATTTTTTGAGTTGAGATAGGACAAATTTACTTGAAAAGCAGTAGTGAAATAACAAATAGTAACAGTAACTATATTAATAACAAAAGATACACAAAAAGATTTATAAACAAACAAGATGTTCCCTGACTGAGGCTCCGCATGGCCCAAGACAGACAGAAATGGCCACAGACCCTCCACACGGCCCCCCTTTTCTATCAACCCCAAGCCAATGTTCCTTTTTCCACAAAAGTGAGAATCCCTTACTTTCACCCCCCAGCAATGATATGGGTGGTATAGAATACAACCTAGGTGCCCCATGCAGACCTCTACCAGCCCAGCCCCTTCCCTGCTCTCCCCCACTGCTACAAGAAAATTAACTCTGTCCTAGCCTAAACCAGGACATTATCCACCCCTTATACCATCTATGTCATGCCCAGATCTGACACCTTCCAACTATATACACATATATAAACATGGTCAAGCACAGATATTATTCCCATAGTCAATGGCCATCCCCACAAGATATCTGTTGAGTTCATTTAGTCCATGACTGTGGGTTCTATCTATCCTATTTGTCTTCCAGGTCAGGAGAGCTGGTGTGTTGTCAGCTGGTTGTAAGCTGCATCACGAGCTCCCAACTGGTGTACTGGGGGCAGTCCATCCTCATTGTCCATGGTAGTTACGGTACACAGTGGCACTGTTATTCAGTAACCAATATAACATATACAATTCAACATTACAGGTGGTTCTTCCACAAAAATCAAATCCCCTTGAGGTACACATAGTGTTTCCCTGTCTCTTCGCATTATCCACTAAGTGCATCCAAGTCCTTGAGCAAATACAAGCCCTTGCTTGAGGCAGGACTAATCCAAGCTGTCTTCCCTAACACATTTCTCATATGCACCACAAGGACTTTATCTCCTGATACAGTACATAGCAGTTCTGATTGGGCAGAGCCAGCTCGACCAGTGGAGCCTCAGGTGCTAACTAACCAGGTGGCCCCTGCTAAATGTAGATCCCAATGTTTGTAGGTTCCACCACCCATTGCTTTCAATGTGGTTTTTAACAGTCCACTGTACCCTTCAACTTTTCCAGAGGTTAGTGTATGATAGGGAATATGATATACCCACTCAATATCATGTTCTCTGTCCCAGCTATCTATGAGGCTGGTTTTGAAATGAGTCCCATTGTCTGACTATATTCTTTCCGGGGTGCCATGCTGCCACAGGACTTGTTTTTCAAGGCCAGAGATGGTGTTACAGGCAGTGGTGTAAGGCACAGGGTAAGTCTCCAACAGTCCAGTGGCTGTTTCCACCATTGTAAGCACATAGCACTTGCCTTGGCAGGTTTGCGGGAGAGTAATGTAATTGATCTGCCAGGCCTTCCCATATTTATATTTCAACCATTGTCCCCCATACCACAGGGGCTTAACCCGCTTGATGGCAGCACATGTTTCACAGTTATGGATAACCTAGGAGGTAGTGTCCATGGTTAAGTCCACCCCTCGATCATGAGCACATCTGTATGTTGCATCTCTCCCTTGATGACCTGAGGCAACACAGGCCCACTGCACCAGAAACAATTCACCCTCGTGTTGCTAGTCCAGATCTACCTGAGACACTTTAATCTTGGCAGCTTGATCTACCTGACCATTATTGCAATGCTCCTCAGCAACCTGACTCTCAGGTATATGTGCATCTACATGATGGACTTTCACAGTCAACTTCGCTACCCAGGCAGCAAAGTCTTGTCGCATTTCAGCAGGCCAGATGGATTTACCTCTGTTCTGCCAATTGGTCTTTTTCCATTGGTCTAGCCATTCCCTGAGAGCATTTGCTACCATCCATGAGTCAGTGTAGAGTGTTGGCCATTTCTCTCCTTCAGTGATATCTAAAGCTAGCTGGATGCCTTTCAGCTCTGCAGCCTGACTCGATCCACCGTGTCCCTTGATAGCTTCTGCGACTCACTGCATAGGACTCCATATGGCAGCTTTCCATTTTCAATTTGTCCCTACGATACGGCAGGAACCATCAGTGAAGAGAGCGTGTCACTTTTCATTTTTGGGTAGCTGACTATATGGTGGGGCCTCCTCAGCAAGTGTCACCTGCTCCTCTTCCTCTTCTGATGATAGTCTGAAATTTTCACCTTCAGGCCAACTCCTGATGATCACCAAGATCATCATTACAATGTTAATAACAAAAGGTATGCAAAAAGAGGGTAATTTACATACAAACAAGGTGTTCACTGACCAAGGCCCTGCGAGGTCCAAGACAGATGAAAATGGCCATGGACCCTCCACATGGCTCTTTTTGCTACCAGCCACAACCTAATGCCCCCTTTTTTCACAGAAGCGAGAATCCTTTACACTTTCACCCCCCAGTAATGATGTGGGTGGTATGGAATACAACCTAGGTGCCCCATATGGAACCTCCCCCAGCCCAGCCCCTTTCTTGCTCTCCCTCACTGCTACCACAAGAAAATTAAGTCTGTCCTAGCCAAAACCAGGACATACATCTTGGATCAGCATCCAGCACTCATAATTAGGTGTGATAAAACAGATGTAGGACTAACTTTAATATACCTCCATTCTTCAATTTTAGGACTATGCAACACAGCACAGCACAGGTACACCTGAACCTGCTGGTTGTTCCCAAGATAAAGGCATGCAAAGTTGGCTTCCTAACCAGTTTGACAAGGATTTATAAACACTGAGATTTATAACACAAAAAGGTCTAAACGTCAGTTTTTCATCCTTTCATCTCACAGAAGTACTTAAAATATCCACTTGTTGATGCTGCATATAGATTCACATAACATTTTGACTGTGCCCAGAAAAAAACAACAGCACTCTTAACAATTTGCCTCACTTGGAAAGCAGAGAGGAAAAAATAAAGAAGTCTTACATCCTGGTCATACTCCAGGAAAACATGAAAATTGCGATCCTTGCTGAGCACAGGATGAGAAGAAATCCGCTGAAGGAAAATTTCATGTGACGATACAGTCTTCTTGAAGACAGCAAGGTATTCACTGAAAGGAAAGAACAGATTGAGATCCTCTCTTGTACTGCCTTCTTCAATATACAAAGAATTACTTTAAGTTATCCAGTGAAAATATTTGACAGCAGGCTTCTGAAATAGCTAGATAGTGACAGTGAAGCTATTTTCAATCTCTTTAGCCGGGAAGTTTTCTAGTTTGAAAGAAACTTTTGTCAAGTCCTCAGCTCCAGGATTTTCAAGACACTCTTCAAATCAGTCACACTCAAGATCAGTTATTACCAAATAGAATAAAGTTGCTCTCCTAGGAGGCTTCTCTAAGTGCAGCTTTTGGCAGTAGAGTCATTTTACTTACGCTTCTAGTTCTTGCTTCATTTTGGCAAATTCTTCTTTTGTCATAGACACTTCTCCTTCTCCTAGCTTCTGCATCTTCTCTCTGGGACCATCAAAGTCAGGCTTTGAAGGTGCTGGAGGTATCTAGCCAAGGAAATGGTTAGTGATAGATACTAGCAAATACAGTTTTCCAAAATTACTTCTAGCCTTCTCTGGAAGGAGGCTCTTTTGCCTCATCATGGAGAAGTGTGGTAAAGAGTGCATGAACCAGGAATTCTAGAGCATGTTGACAGCCTGTCTGCCCCTCCCAGTTCTGTCCTATCCCTGCCCCAGGAGGGAAACCAACCCACAAGAACAGCCTCTATAATCCACCCCATAGCCAGCCATCTTCTGTGGCCCACATGGCCTCCTAAAGGATCATGATAGGAAGGACAGACCATATTTAATAGATTATTTCACTGTCATCTTCAGGCAGATATTAATACCACCATGGAGCCAGGGACTCTCGGAGCATCAAGTCTTTTTTGCTGCTCCAAGCTATATGCAAAGTTAACACAAATGCCACACCACTCAAGTTGTCTGGGAATTAAGGTAACAGGAAGCATAGGGAATACCCAGGCCATGACACACTACTAGCATTGATAAAACATATTTCACACCTTTACTAGTATGCACTTTAGATTGCTATAGTTTCTCAGTTAGAATTACATTTTTTAGGAAGTACTTACAATGAGACCTGCATACTCTTCAGTTTCAGTGAGCGTATCATGCAACCACACAAAGTCTTCATGCTGCCGTGTAACTGAAAACTCAGGGCTTTGAAACGCTGGCAGTGTAGTCTGGAAGAGAAGATAGACAAGCCCCTACTGTTTTGTAAATCAGTGCTTTTAGAAACAGCTCTGTCCATTTCCAAAAGGAAGCTATTCTGCCTAGTAAGAGCCTTGCCCAATTCCTTTTAGCTGAGCTGGCACTCACTCTAGAGCCGAGTGTCGTACCACTAAGTAGACTGTTAGATAAAAGGCACTGTTGTGGAACAGCATTAATGCAGTTTATTTTGTGACGTTTCCCAGTAGCTGCTTTCTTATCCACAGCCTTCTGGTGTCTAGCTAGGATTCCTTAGCAAAGCCAACTTAATGATCAGCTAACCTTGTCTCTGTTTAGAGCGTTCAAGTCTTAGGGAATCTGAAGTTTTATATATACACACCTTCAAGCCACCTTTAAGTGGAAAGTCTCCATCTAATTAGATTTCCTTCATTGCCATCTTTACAGGTAGGTGTACTGCAAATACACATATTACTTGCATAACCTCTTTTTCCCCATGACCTTACCTTAGTATGCACAGTGAACTTCACTCTGTCCTTTTCACTTAGGGCATCAGGGATATCAATTTGGAGAGAAGGATCAATATTCAGGTCTACAGATACAGACCTCAGCTGCAACAGAATTCACAGTATAAGCCTTGGTCAAGCATCAGGTAGGCTTAATGAAGCTACACTGATCATCAGCTGTCAATGAGAACCACTCTGCACTACAGCACTGCCTTCAGAAACAGCACATATGGCCAAGCATGACAGACTTGACACTACCTGCACATCACTGTAACAAGCCTTCCCTTCCAAGCACAGGAAAGAAAAGGGCTTGTTAGCCTGAAGTCTGAAGAAATTATTATTGGAGTTCACACTAGAGGTATTTGGGAAGTCTCTTCTTGAAAACAACATCCTCCTTCCAGTACCTCTCCAACTTGTTTACTTGGAGCCCACCAAGCCAAAGCCTATTATGTCATTCAAAAGACAGCAACAACCCTAATAGTTCTCTTCATTATCCTGTGCCTCCACAGGATTGTAGAACATTAGCTCTTAAGAGTCTAGCCTTATGATCTCTTTCCTCACCCTTAGATCAGACAGCTATTGAGGTTTCTGAGCTTGCCACGTGAGGCACCATTTACAGGAGACCTCAGAGCCCACTTGGTTCGATAAAGATCTGACTTACCTTCCCAGTGCTTCAAACAGGCCTTAAACTGAGCCAGCATCTTCCTTTGGGGGTTTATTTCTTCATTCCAACAGCCTAGACCCAGAACATAATTTCAACTATACTGAAACTTCCAGAGCAGTGGAATAGCCTTTTCAGTTGAGGATCCTCTAGCTTACATATGAAGCCTGTCTTCTAAGAGGCCCTCCCTTAAGGGCTGTGGCCTTAACAAATCATTCTTGTTTTCTGCATAAGGGAGAAACAACCAGAGATCAAGGTCACAACACAGGAAGCTTGCTGAAGAGTGTCCGTCAGAGTCAGGATGAATCCTGAGGTTATCCTTTGGAAACAACTCTGAAGGCCTTCCCAGAAAAGCAAGCTGGAGAACTGGACCATGACTGATGTTGTTGCACCACTCTGCAGCACACTAGTGCACACAACACCAAAGCCCACAAACAAATGGCAGACAGCATCTGAGCAATCCTGTCATATCACAGATTGCTTGAATGTTGCCTTAAGCCTCTGTAAAGCTGCTAAGAACTGTTGATAGGTTGCCCTTTATAAGGTAAAGCTTTGCTTCCAAAAGGCTCTGGAAACTCCATCACCCCCTAGGCTGGCCATCTGCAGCCCAGATCTGGTAGATAACAATTCTCCCTGGCTGCCTACAGAGGACACAGCTGCTAGGCTGGCGTGCATTTGCCTCTATCCAGCCTGCCCCCGATGGTTACTGCTACTCTCTATGATCAGACTGCCATGTGTAAATGAGGGATATCCCAGTCACTGTACCCTCATCCGCTCAGCCACATTAGAAAGACTTATCTGTTGCATCCCCACTGTTAGCTAGAATTAGATGAGATAAACCTTTTAAACCTTATGACTATGGAATGACTTTGTATGCAGCACATTTCCATTCTGACTTCTGTAGGACATGAGACTTTAAGCCCATCCTGGGTACTGCCTTGGCAAGAAGCATGCTTACAGAACATGCCCTGGAACACAGTTCCTAGCAGTCCCAAGCACTGTTCACATCCAAATGGACATGGTGGGACTCCAAACTCTACAGGGATTCCAACAGTACAGTCACACCTTTGGACGGACTATTATGTTCCCATACAGGCATGCAATTCTAAAACTTTCTAGAAAGGCACAGGCCAAACAGCACACTGGTTTGGGCAGAAGCCATCCCGTTAAAGCACTACAGGAAAGACAGGTAGTCAGGCATTAATTTCACTGGGAGCGCAGTTCACTGTGTGTTGCCAAATGAACAAAAGGCAAGCTGGTCAGTGTTTCCCAGCCAGATAACACCAGCAGGCAAAGCAGCGACATACAGATCTCAGTGTTTTACATTCTGCTTACTTATCTTTAGTGTCCAAACAGGATCAGCAGCGATAACAATATGAACTGCTGAGTTTGGAAAGTATTATAAGCCAAAGGAAACGGTTTCCTCTCAGCTAAACTAAGGAAAGGATTACACAAATCAGTCAGTCCTGAATTTGCAAGTTTTCTTATTGTCTTGTGGAGAAGGTAACCCGTGATTAGATGCTGTCTGCACACCCTTCCATGCCTAGTAGTTGCCTACACAAGAGATGGAACAGGTATGGACACAAGGTGGTACTGCTTTGTCAGATTAAAGCAGTTCACGTGTCACGGGCATGTCTCCCCATCACTCTGCACAAGCTGCAGAGACAATGGGGCAAGAACACATAATCTGCAGCTTCAAAGAATTCCCAGGAATAATACTGCGGGTGAGTTTATGCTCACAGCAGGGCCTTATTTACACAGAATCAACTGGGACTCAGCAGCAGTGTTCAGCTATGCACCCCAGAGCAATATGTACTACGCATGGGGCCCAAAGTGAGAGACCAGCTCAAATAAAGGACAAGGGTCAAGAACACCCCTATATACATTGGTGGGATTCTGCCCCTCAGAACAGCATGAAGCCATTTGCTAAAAAAATCTTGTACTTCTACTGCCTTAAACATCTGCTGTAAATGTACACAACCCAGGCTTAAAGGCCACTGCAGTCTGAAATATATGAAGATGGCACAGGATTATTGACCTCTACCCTTCAGGAGTTGGTCTTCAGTAAAGAACCTGGAGCTATGTGAAGCTGAGGATCATAAGACCACTGGTCTACTCTAGTCCTGTGAAGGTCCTGTGAGCTCCTAACTCCAGGCCAGAGATCTTTAGGATTACACAATCATGGCAGCAAGGCTCAGACTACAAAGGAAGCATTCACACTGCCTGACTTCAGGAGGAGTGAGTGCTTGTTTCCCTACAAAAAAGTGCTGGAGTAGCACTTCTGCACTGAACAGAAAGCAAGAGGCTCCCCTCCTGTCACCACAGCTCTAACTCAGTGAGCACCTAAAGCAGATGTTCCACACCAACCCTCGATCAATGTAAACATCAGCTTCTGCAGCATTAACAGCTTTGCATTCAGGACCTTTCCTGCCATCATCTATCCTACACCCATCCTACAAGCAGGAATGAGAACCAATTTGCTTATGGTCACGTGAAGGCTATGCAGAGAATTAAACTGTCATCTCCAGGTCCCAGGCTTGTTCTTTTACCATAGCAGGCATCCAACCCAAGGCCTTCCCAGGATATCACTCCACCTTAGCTCTCCAGCCTACCATGTTTGGCAGGTCCTTTGTATCCAGAGGCATCATTGTAGGACGTCACTGTTTCTTCCCTGCACTCCAGGCAGTGGGCAAGAGAACTGAAGTTTCCCCTCCCCAGCTACCAGAAACCAGTCTGTCACTTCACACTCTCTGGGGGCTATAATTATAATCCAAGCTCGGGAACTGGGAAGGGGTTATTCCTTACTTGCAGCACATGACCAAAGAGGTACAGAGGACACACAGAGGGGAAACAGCTGGGCTGGACTGCAAACAAACATTCACCCAAACCCAGCACAGTATTCCCACTTTCATTTCTCTTTCTCAGAAACCACTTCTGGTTTGTAGTGACTACAGAAGTCGACATCTCCCACTACTAGGCTCAGTCTTGTTAGTGACCTGTTTCAGGATCCCTGGGCTTTCTTGAGGATTCAAGAAAAACTTTCTCTGTTCAGTACAGATACTGTCCACCACAACTATCTAACCTGGAAATTAAAACAAGACATCAAGCAGAGCCCTCCAGAAGAACATACAGTCATCATACTGATTATTAACATTTCTAGGTTTCAGGACCAGAAGACTAAATCTAGATATTATGGTACTAATTAGGACATCATGATCAACATCTGATCTAAAGTCCAGGAAACAGCAGAGAGCATTACTTGCCCAATCTAGAAAGAGTTTAAAAGCACTTACTTTTTTTCTATTGGTTAGAGATGCTAGGGAGGGGGAAACAAAACAAAAAAACCCAACACCCAAACAAATAAAACCACACAAAAACCCAACCAAAAAAACAAACAATCCCCAAAACCAACCAAACAAAAAAGAGTTGCATCATTTAAGTACAACTCAGTGAGGACCATCAGCTACCCAGGCTTCTACTTGACAGACATTTAGTTTCTGATCAGGCCTCACCCAAATGCAAACACATCTTGATGCCTGCAGGCATCCCTGGAAGGAAATGCCCTCAGCCACTGAAGCCACTTAGTTCTGTTGAGTGGCCTGAACTGCTGCTTTTCAAATTACACCCTTTGCAGTTTTAGCATGGCTCTGGATGACTCGATGCTACTTCTGCATTCTAACAAAAGAATCTGCCACTGCAAGCAACTGTGTACAACATCCGACTGTTAGTGAAATAAGAATATGTATTTGTTCTCGAAGACAGGTGAACTCAGGGATTTTCCACACAGCCAGGCTCTTGGAAAGAGCAAGGAGCCCTTCCACAAGGGCTCCCATGTCAGAGCTTTCTGCTTATTGTCAGATACCTCACAAAAACCCTCTCCCCTTACTGATCACCTCCTGCTATCATTCAAGCAATAGCCCACAAACAAGACTTCAGTAGTAATTACATCTGCCACTACCCAGAATTCATTACTTTTTACAGAACAGTCATTTTAATTAATCCAGTTTAAGTGCTCTCCAGAGAGCACTAAGAGATCACGATGTTTTCTGGCAGTTTATACAGAGTAATCAGTTCCAGAGGGTCTTTTTCGACACCCAGGAGTTAACCAGCAGACTTGCAGAGTATCTGGCCAGCAGATATTAGCAGCATTGGTTGCTGGAACTACATTTCAGTCATATTCAGCACACGTACCTCAAGTTTCCTTTCAGTCAAGATACTAAAAAGACATCTGCACACATGCAGTGTAAAGAGCCAACACAACACTTCACAGTGTATGTGAAGTTCTGATTTTGCAGCCTTCATGACAGGCTTGCTCTTATCTCTGACATTGAGCTGAACAGTCCTGAAGTAGTCTGGGTTGCAAACAGCCAGGAAAAATTGAACCAGTCTTCATGTTGCTACTTATGCTACAAAAAATGCCTTCCCACATTGTGACTTGGACTGCAGAACTCCAGTGATGTAAAGGTTTTCATTATTTTGCTTAAAGCACCAATAAATGGGGAACAACAGTTCAATTTAGTCACACTGAAATGGCATTCCTCACCAAGTACAATGCTTGTCAAGTAAGCAGAAAGCAGCCTCTGCAGGCAGAGCACCTGTTGCCTCTGGCTGTGCAATAATCAGGCTGTGCCTGATCACTTAGCTCTCCTGTCAGCAGGATCCCTGCATCACTCTCTACAGAAACCAAGCGGTCATACGCCTCCTTACAGAAGGAAGAACACAGAGGGAGTAATGTTTATAAAACTTCAAGGACCACATATTCCAAGCAAAAGCCTTGCTAGCTCACCCTGATCCACCCAGCAGCACATAGGACACCTCCACCCAACACACTGATTCCTCAGCTTGAGGGTTCAAGCAACAGCTTTGGCCATGCAGGCCAAATCCACTCTGCTGCAGTAGTGTGCCTGTAGAGCATGGCCTGTGGCAGACTAAAATGGAAATGGTGCAAAGGCAGCAAACTACTAAGCCACAGTCAGCATCCACAAGATTGTTTTGCTGCCCTCCAGCAGTGAGGCCAGAGCTGGCCTTCGGGAGTCTCAGAAATACTGCCTCACCACACTGGCTTCACCTTCCACGGACTTGAACTTGTGTCATTAGCCCAAACTGCTGGGCCAGCTTCACGGAGGCTGTATGTCCTTGATAATACATTATCCTTATCCAGTAACTTTCACCTTGCTAGCAGTTCATCTCCCTATTTGATTTTGGGCCCAGCAGCATGCAGAAGCAGTTGTTTTGCTAAGCATAGGCAAGACCTAGTATGCCCTCATTCCTTCAGACCATGTAGCAGAATCTGTCCAGCACGGAGAATCACCATTTGTGAGTTATAACAGCAAGTCTCAGGCTATGACACAACATTTTGTCTTCACTGACTGCTTTGAGAAGGAGTCAGTGAAGACAAATACTTGCTCTCAGTATTTTCATCTAGAACATTTTAACTGCAGACCGAAGCCTTAAAATACTATCAAGCCACCAACGTTAGGAAATACCAGGGTATTTACTCAAGGTTATCTTGGCAGTCCCCACTACTTGTTTCACATTCTGAAGTGCCTTTTCCTCCCCCATGACAGATTACACCTTCTTTCCCACTGCACTTCCAATCACCCTTATCCTACCCTCCCTTCCTCTTCCTACATATCCTGATCCTCTGCTGCTTTGCCACCTCAGGGTCGGTTTTTAGTTTATACTTACCAGTGGTTCCTATTCAAGGTTAATACCTAACGAAGCTTTCTTTACAGGCACAGGCTTTATCTACTGGCCACATACCAGTTCCCTGTTGGTGTTTCTTTACCTAAACAGGAACAGACAAGACAGGAGTATTTCTATCCTCCCCCGTGCTGCTGGAATCCCAAGACAGCCCTAAAACCTGAAACAAACTAGTTAATATATGTCCATTGAACATCAGAGTTTAAAGCTACTCCAACCCTCACCGTGGGAACATTTTCCCCTCCCGCAATATTCCTGCCTGCTAAGTTAAAAAGGCACATAAACACTCAAAAGTTACCAGTTGCTGCAAGAGAGTTGATATTTGACCTTCCCCTCCACCCCATCACCTGCAGATCCTGCAAGACTATAAAGACTCACACTCACTATTCTCAAAGTGCAGACATTTTAATACAAATAGTTTCACATGCAGCAGAAAACAGTTAAAGCACTGGCCAGCTCACAGCAAACTACTAGAAAACACTTGCTCTATAAACTTTTGCCTGTTCTACTGTGTCAGGATTGTTTCAAAATGAGATTCATATGGAAGGGAAAGACATGAAAAGAAAGTATCTATAGGAAGTTACTAAACTAGTAAACAAGCCTGGTGTATTTCTAGCCCTCAAGTCAGCTAATATATATGTTCCAAAAAGCTGGAGAAAACACAGACTGAAGAGACTTAAGCACACCTAACAGTTTGAAACAAAGTCATCTTCCTGAAAGTGAATTAAGCTTAATCACAATGCAAAACTACATTAAGATGCAACAACATGAAAGACAAATAGGCAATTCACTGACTGCTACAGGGCTGCCTTACCTTCTATTCAAGGTGTGTTGAGGATAGTTATTAAATCAGGTAGTTTAGGTAGATTAAGCCAGGTAGCTTGTCCAGTAGGAGAAATAATTTCAATCACTGTCTACATTACATACACATTAATTCACAAAGTTTCTGTTTTAGCATTTAACTTGTATTTCCTCTGAGAAGTTGAGAGTCTTAGAACATTAGGTAACACCCCACGCTGCTTTAAAGGCTCCTTGGCACTTAAAGGTTCTAACGCTACTACAAAAGAAAACTAAGTCAGCCGCTGATGTGACAGCCAAGGGAAAGAGGCACCGCAGCTGATGTGACAGCTGACCTAGAGCACATAACCAGGAAGGCTGGTCACAGACACACTAGGCAGCTGACCCATTGAGAAAGAGCAAGTTGAATCCTCGGCAGCACAATTGCCTACAGCACTTCGCCGCTAGTGCCCAGAGACAGGTCCTCATGAGCAGGTCCTGCTCCTGCATTCCTTGCCAGGCCCCGTTCCTGCAGCTCCAGAGCCCTGGCTGTCATCCTGCTCCTGCCACAGCCCAGGAGTGCAGCCCGTACCGCCTCACGGCAGCTGCACAGCCCTTCCCTACATCCTCCTCCTTCCCACTCCGGCTTTAAGCCTGCCCCACCCACTTATCTCCCCCTGGGCCTCTTCCTTCAGGAGCTACACCCCACGTTCACCCTGGGCACCCTGACCACCTGCCCTCAGGAGAGCTTAGTGCGACTAAGGTAACTAATATTTAAAAAACAAACTCTAAACGGAGCAGAAATAAAAACCTGTCACTGTCCCAGCGCTGTCGGGGGCAAAGGGAGCGGGGAGCTCCCTCTCACCCCGCGGGGCCAAGCCGGCTGCGCCCCCGCGGCCTGCCCCAGCCGGGCCGCCTACCTTGTCCTGCGCGTCCCCGCCGCGCAGAGCCATGTCTCCGATCACGAACAAGCACTGCCCGTCCTCCTCCCCGCCGCCGCTTCGTCATATACCCCGAGGCGGAGCCGCCACCGCCTCCCGCCGCCGCCGCCGCCACACCCCCCGCGGGGCGGCCGCCATCTGGGGTGAGGGCAGGGCGCTGCTTGCCTTCATCCAAGATGGCGGCAAAACGCTATATTTTTTCCTTGCATTTAGAGATCTGGGTTGTTTTCCTCAGAGCCTTTCAAATAACACCCAAAGAGAGCGAAACAGAGCAGGCATGCCTCTCTCGCAGTTTTCGAGGTGCTCCAGCGAAGGGGAAGGGGCCAGGGCGCAGGAGAACTACAATTCCCATGAGGCGGAGGGCGGCGCAGTGCGCGGTGAGCGCGGCGGTGGCGTCGGGCGGAGCGCGCCTGCGTGCTGCTTCCCGCGGCGGTGGCGGGAAGTGTGTCTGAGGTAACGCGGGGCCGTGGGTCGTGAGCGCCTTGGGGCTGGGCCGGGGGGTCATGAGAGCGAGTGAAAGGAAGGCGAGCCGAGCCCACTCTGCACCCCTGGTGGGTGAACCCTGCTCGCCCTGCCCCCGGCTCTGTCATCGAGGGGGCCGCATGGCCGGGCTGCCGTGGCTAGGTGGGTATGCCCGCGTTCAGCGGGAATTCTTGTCCCGAGTGACTTATCCGAGAGAGAAGCCCTGCATAAGAGTGCGCTATCCGGCCCTGTCGCGTTTCCGGACGCCTGGTGCCCATGTAGAAACGTTGTCTGTCTACTAGAGAGCACTTGGTGGTCACCGGTGTTAGCTCAGCTCTCACAGATCGCCAGAAACGCTGACGTCGTGTTACAGCCCTGTTTCCCACTAATTCCATTCCCAATGCTAAGCTGGGAATGAAGCTTGAACTTTTTTCAGTGTAGCTCTGTGGGCTTGTGCTTTAAACTGGGTTGCTAAATTTTCTCTCTCCATGCTTTAAACGTCTCAAAAGAGGGAGGTGTATTTTTAACCTGGATAGGTTCAATAATTTAGTTTACAAACTGCAGGGAACCAAGGAGAAGAGGTTGGGGGCAGGGACTGGGCAAGTGTGTAAGGTTCTAAAAGTGATACAGCTGTCAAAGCCCTGCCCTATTAAGTTATAGCCAGAAAAAAAGAGAAAGAGAATGTAGGGTACTGTTGCCTTTCTACATGACTTAGTAATACTTCTTCAAGAGAAAAGCCTGTGATGTTAACTTAAAGTTATACCTTCATCAGTGCATTTGTTCTGGAGTTAGGGACACAGGGCAACAGATCTGTAGCTGCGTTTAGTGGGGCTCTTTCTTATTATCTCTGAAGTAAGCTAGTGCTTTTGTTTGCTGGACAGGTGGCTGTGGAGAAAAAACCATGGTGGTTATTTTCCGAAACCATAATTAGAGGTAGGTTTTTATAGATGTGAAATTTTTCTTAAGTAATCTTTTTGGTTTTCTTCTGTTAAGCCACTCATTCCTGTCTGGGGAAAAATTTCCTCAGTTTTGTTAGCTCAGTTATTGTTGGAGCTGCAAAGTCAACTTGCTTGGGAAAGTTAAGTCCTGCTTTTTTTTTCCTCTTTTCTTTCCTCCAGTGTGGCTCATCATGCAACACTTGAAGTAATTCTGCCAGGCTTCAACCACAAACCCTTTCAGAGAGAAGGGAGACACTTCCCCAGAGGGAAATATCAATTAAATTCTGTTCTTCAGGGGCAAGAGTAGATCCAAACCACTCCAACTCCATTTCTTTCTTGTAAATGTAAGTTATTTGCACAGAAATGCCACTGTGATTTTTTGAAAAGCACATGATTTTTTATTTAGCTGGACACAAGTGTTCCTTATTTCTTAGCAATCCTAGAACCTCTTTCTTTTTGTAAAACAGGACAGCAGCAGACAGACTCTCCTGGTGGTTCAGTTCATAGAGTGCACAAACATTTCCACAGGTATTACTCCAGTGTAATATATGCTGTTAAATCAAAATTTATACTAATCACTGAGGCACTGCATCAGTGTTGCAGTTAATTAGCTGTAGAGCTCATAATATTCCATATTTCAATAGCCCCATGGTTCAGAACACTGAGCTGGTATAAATTTATTCCTTAAAAAATGTTGAGGGGGCAGCTTACTGCAAATGAACTTTATGCTAAATCAGGTATCATCTTGCTTCCTGCAGCTGACAAAAAGCCAGAATAAACTTTTTCTTTTGTGCTGTGGCTGATGTAACAAATACACAGTCAGTGGCCCAACATGTGTTCTGTTCTGGTTAATGCACATACACAATGACCATTAATGCACATGTTAATGGTCTTCAAACAATAGCCCAAGAAACTACAAGCTTAGACACTATTACATTGGAAAAAGAGTATTTTTTTCCTGGTTTATTTTAAATCACAGCTTTATTTAGAGGTAAATCTCAGAAGAGGAGAGATTAAGTTTTTTGCACTGCTTTTTATGATTAAAAAATACAGTGAAGCAATATTCTTACAGTATTAAAGCCTCACCTTTATGTCTCTCTGCTGCTTCTACTGTTTTTTATTACCTCCTACAGCAAACTGACACCTGTTGAAATGTGATACCATCATTCATTATTTCTTTTTTAGCAAAGGGCACATTCTGCCAGGTAACCAATCCCATTCCAACACTGAAAAATCTATTAAAAATGTGATAGTCTCTGAGAAGAATGAGTTGCTGCAAATCCTGGTGTAGCAGGTTTGCAGAAGAGAGCTGCTTCATGATATTGAAATGACAAAACATGGGGAGCTTCTTATATTTATTGAATCAATTGGCAGTAATAGTGAAGACACACAAAATTCACTGACTGAAAAGCCAGGGTGAACTGAAGAATTGAGACATGTATAATGTAAAAACTACCGCTTTATGCTGTTACAAATTTCTAGCAAGCTGAGCTGTAGAAACAGCTTATGACATCATTTAAGAAATTACAGGAAACATAACATTTGGTTATGTTTCACAAAAACGAAGCAGGGCAGGACTTCAGTTACAAAACACATAGTGCAATTTCTTGCTGCTGTGTAAACTGTCTAAAGCAGGTGTTTCTATTTTTTGGCAGAACTTGCATACTTTTGTGGCAGTAAAATGGTTTTAATTGTCTCGTTTGTCCTTTCATAGTGCACCTAACTATGCTTTTCTGTTGTGCAGGCAGGAGAGTAGTTTTTACAGGAATCTGAAGGTCAGAGGATGCTCAGGTGATCATATCCATTCTTGCTGTTGAATATTGAAAAATGAAAGAACAAGTGCAACTCTACCCAGCCCAGTTCTGCTGGATAAGGAAAGCAGTTTTAGAATTTCTTTGATATTAAATATAATGTCATTATTAAAAAAGGGAAGTGACATATTCAAAGTATCTTAACTGGTAAGGTTTCCCTTGTGAGGTGGCTTGCTTTATGCCTAATCAGACTGTAAAAAATCAGTAGCAGAACTAACTAGTTGGTACTTTCATTATTTTCCTCTATTATTCTCTTATGGACCTTGATGCAGTTTTAAAATCATTAACTGTTTTGATTGATATACATTGTAATTACAGGAAGCCCTTACTAAAGACTGAGTGAGACCGTTTGACAACAGGATGGCAAATTTGCCTACAGGGCACCTGGTACTGGGTCACAAATGCTAGGGCTACATGAGACAAAGTTCTTATTGTGTTTTCCTGGTTTGGATTTGCTTTTGACAGGTTACTTTTGTATCAGGTTGCATGCCATCAGGTTACAGAACAGTTTTGATTTGCCTGGATCATACAAGGTCAGTGTGAAAACGTAAAGCCAGTGAAGAAAAAGAGCAGTGTATCTGCCTACTCCTGATTAAATTTGTACAGCTGGATGATTTTGTCCTTTACAGATGAACAACAATATTTATGGAAACCAAGTCCAAAGTCTCAGCCTCTTGCTATGAGATGCTTTGATCTAATCAGCTGCAACCAGTACAAACCCATTTTTGGAAACTGTTCTGTGTGACAGATGCGTGCACCCCCACAGCAATTGTGCATGAGCATGGGATCTGTCCATACAAAATAACTCCCCATAGTACATTTTTGTTTCCTGTGGCATGCACAGCTCGGGCAGTGTGTGAAGTGCTGTTTAAGGAGTGTGGGGAAGGTAAAGAATAATGTGAAAGTATTGTCTGGAACAGAATGCTGATGGTGGCTGGCAGATTCTTTCTTTGCAGTGGGTGGAGGGAACTTTCTAATGGTAAGCAGATAACTTTCAGTAGGAGAGTAGGGCCTCAATTCTGCATATATTTAATGTTGAGTGAAATGCCACTATGCAGGTGTTATATTTTATCCATGTGCAAAAACTTTCCTAGGACTTAGCACTGCAGTTACCATGCAGTACAGTATTGCTGGTATACTGTTCTTGCCTTTAAATTTCCTAAGTGTCTCAAAACACAACTATATTTGAAACTCACTTTAGAAAAATACTTTTGTATTTTATTCTGAACTTTAAAAGATTTCTTTGAGTCTGAAGATATTTGAAGTACATATGGTTTCTCTTTTGGCTTTCTTAGTCTCAGGTCTCACAATTGTATGTACTGCTGCTGCCTGCTTTCTCCTACAAAACAAAAACATGGTTTTATTCTCCATAAGGTACCTTGTCCCCACAGTCCCCTTAAGCTGGGCATTCACTATAAACGTAAAAGTTTTTAAACCTCATAGCAATAGATTTGCTTCATTCTCTTCTTGTAGTTTTTTTTTTTAATTTCACTCTCCCTCTTTTGAGGGGTTGTTTGTGGCAGATCTGGTTTTTGTATTTACTTTCATGGCCATTATGATACGGTTCCTGTAGGAATGCACTCTGCTGCAGCTTTTGCTACTTGCAACATCCTTATGTGCTTGCCCCGTTTCAGATTTTGCAGACCAGCACCTGTTCTTTTCAGGACTGTTTCCTCTTTTCATTGCTTATTGGTTCTTTCTCTTATTTATCTGAAGATGTTTTGGTGGCATGAAGTATACGAGGACACTTTGACTGTAGCAATTCTTTGTTTGGCCAAGGGCAAAAATAAGATGGTGGTAAAGTTTTATGATTCTGGAAATCACATATGTCTTTTTCTACAGGGGGAAAATATTGTAACCTCCAGATGTTCCTAACAGAAGAAAGAAAACTCTAACCATTCACAAACACTTCTTGTCAGAATGCAATTCCTACAGATACTGTCCAGGAAACCAGGGAAACTGGAAATGCTTTTTCAAATACCATTTTGTCAAAAGCAATTCCCATGTTCATGTCTGGCTACTTCTGCATGTATTTATAGTAAAAAGAAAAAAGCAAACAGTTATGAACAAGTTGACCAAGAAAAGTACAAAAACTTGGTCTACTCTGTTACATCTTACAAAACCAGCGCCCAAACACCAGAGACAATATTTGAAGAAGACAATTTGTTATATGGGCCACCGGATAAACACAGACCTCCAGCTAAAGCTGGGACAAAGACTCCCAAGAACTGGGTTCCTTTAATAAACCCCGACAAGAGAATTTCCCCTCTCAACAGTGATTCAAACCTCCCCAGGAAAATCATGTTACAAAAAATGAAAATGCCCAGTGTTACCCATATTCTTCAACAAACTCTCTCTCCACAGCAAGTCTTTTATCTAGAAAGATGGAAGCAGAAAATGATAGTGGAACTTGGAAAAGATGGTTTTGAAAAGTACACCAAAAGTAAGTCTAACCACAGTGCCATTGCAAAGTAGAAGCAGTAGAATTTAACTGGCAGGTATATTCTAACAGTGGCAGTATCAGGCCCTACAGGTCAAGCATTTTGGAAATCCTTTAAGTTGTTTCCATTTCATGAGAGCATGTTGTGAGTGTACCTGTTACCAATGAGCCTAAGCTCTGGTCTTCGTTCTAGAACCATTAAAATGGATTTAGAAGTCTGTGGGAAATGAGTATTAGACTGTAGACATCTGTTACTCAATCCTGTCTGCCTCTGTTTCTCTATTTGCCAATACCTATTTACAAGTAGATATTTTCCAGCTGATATTACTGAGCCTCTTTGCAGATACAAAGCTACTTTGTAACAAGATGGAAATAGGCATTTTGAAATTATATCTTGAGTGTTTAAAAACCAATATATCCTGCTATTTATGGTGAAGTTTTTCATTACCTGTTTAGTTTATCCAGTGTGCGCAGCCTCTTCCGTGAAATTTCCATGCATTTAGAGTTTTGATTTCATAAGACATACAAAGGTGGTTTCCTCCAAGCTACAGGACTGAAAGGGATCTGGGAGGACCTAGGGGATAGTAAGTAGCGAGGTTGATAAGTACCCGAGTGCTCCTTACATGAATTATTATGCTTTTTGCTTTTTAAAACTAATATCCTGTGATTATGCTTTTTTAATTACTAAGCACGTCAATGGATAAGGTGGCATAACAAACCTTATATAACAGTTGAAAATTTATCTTTCTGAGATAAGCCCTTACTCCTGGAACTGTGCCCACTCATTTCATGAGATCAGTTCCATTCAAATGAACTGATACAGCAGAATAAGCAAGTGCAGCAAAAGCAGCCAGAATAATGTTTTTAATTCCTAGAAATTCACAAATGCTTTTGTATACAATAAATTAAAACTCGTATTTTGTTTCTGAGTAATTAGCGAGACTAAAAAAGTAAAGTAATATTAATATAAGAGATACTAATTTCCTTGTTGACAATTTATTTTCTGTCTCCCTTCTCCCCACATCCTCAAGCTTTCAGCACAAAAAACAGGACTGATTTAAGAGCTTCATTGTATAATATGTAGAATATGAATCTAAAGTAGTGTCTAAAATGTGTTTTTTCCTATTTTTCTCAGATCTTTTCCTCCAAGGAGAGCTCTTTCATTCAGCTTTGGAATCTATATTCCTGTCTGAAGAGATGGCAGTTAAGGAGAAGAGCGAAGATGGTGTTATTTCTGGTTACTTATCAAGTGTGGAACATGTCTTAGAAGATATCAGCGAAGTGAAAGCTCTGGAAAGTGGAGTTCATCACGAGACCCTTCAGTATCTGGGCCTGGTAGACTGCGTGGCGAAGTATCGGTGAGGTTCCTCTACCCTAAGGCACCTGTAATGTCTGTGGTGTATGGGAAGCCGTGTCCCAGGCTGCAGCTGGTATGTTGTTGAGTGGCTGGGGGGAAGCTGGGCAGATCTCCAGGACCAGCAAAACAGATTAATTCCCCTGGATGAACCTGATGACAGAAGTGCCAGAAGTGCTGTTTTTTTCTTGTGGAGTTCCTTACTGGAACAGGGTGTGAGTGGGACAGGGTTAATTGATTGTCAGCATTTGCTAGGAACTGCAGCAGGTATTAGTGTTAGTTTTTGAGATCTAAACTGCCAGTGTGAAGAGAAATATTTAGACATAAGAATGAGCAACATGACATCAGGGTGAAACAGGCTGAGTGTGATAGGTCTTTATGTGCTGACTCATCCCTCATTTCTTACTTGCGACTTCTTAAGTTTAAAACATTGTCCTATCTTGTTCTCTTATGCAGAGGCCAATTGTGTGTGATTGACTGGAAAACTTCAGAGAAACCAAAGCCATTTCTGAAGAATACTTATGACAACCCATTACAGGTTGCAGCATATATTGGAGCCATAAATCATGATGCCAACTATGACTTCCAGGTCAGTAGGCCTGCTACCTCCCAAGACAAGTAGCAGCACCCACGTCATCTTCATTTCTCCCTGCCTACTGCCTTTAGAAGCTGCTGTCCATCATGGAATTGTTGGTAGGATTTGTGACAAAGGAGCCCAGTCTTAGATCAGGTTAAGCAGACATACTGTGAAATAATTCTGCTACTCCTGCTAATTCTGCTGCCTTTGGCTGTCAGCAGTGTATTTTCACTGATTTTAAGGACCTGCTCAGTGGGACCAAGGGAAGCTCAGAGTCTTAGGAGGTCAGATGAACTCACAGTGACTTGGCATGTGGGCAGTCCCCTGTGCTTTGTTCTGTGTGGTTTTTACTTGTGTCAGGAGTAGGAAGGGGCAGGAGAAGTAATAAAGCAAAAGAGCCTGCAAACAGGAAAATGGTGTGGGAGGGCCTTGCTTGCATCATGTGTTGCTATATTGCACTAACAAATGAGGGACTAAATGATGGACTTGGTCTTTGGAAGCTGTACCGTGTTTCATCTGGGGAAAGCAGTGTGTTGTGAATCACTTAATCAGAAGACAGTGGAATAATGTTTTTAAAGACTCCAAATGCAATTCTAGCCTGCTTGGCCTGAAGGATTTTTAGTTCAATACAAACATTGAAGGGGGAAAATATGAAGCAGAAGAGAGCAGGTTAATTCATAGGTTGTGCAAAAGACTTTCTAGAATAGTGTAGAGGTCAGTAAACACAAGCACTTAACAGATATCATCCTTACAGAGGGAAATGTGGGCAGTAATTCTGGAATTCTGCTATTAGCCTCCTGCCCCCCTACTAGCACTGGCTTTTTGGGATTGATTTGGGATTTTGGATTTGTCAGGTATGAAGAATGTCTGAACATACCTAAGTACCTGTTTCCATTCAGACTGATGCCGGAGACTGCATCAGTCTGGTTATGTGGCCCCAGGCAAAACCTCATCAGTCACTGGGGATTTTACCACCATCTACAAGGTTTAAATATCATTCATAGTCAAAGTTCATGTCCTCTGGTCGGAGCTTTGGTCTCTGGGTTTTTGGAGCATTTGACTGTTAGTCTCCAAGTATTTTATGGTGAATTATTGCCCTTTTTTATTCCCCATTTCTTATTTAAGAAACATATGTATGTGTTGTTATGTTTTGTAGTTAGGTTTAGTTCTTAGAATTTTATCTGAATGTTGAATTTCTGACAGCGCTCTGTTTTTGAATGTAGGTTCGCTGTGGACTCATCGTGGTTGCCTATAAGAATGGTTCCCCTGCGCATCCACATTTCATGGATCCTGATCTGTGCTCGCAGTACTGGAATAAGTGGCTTTTGCGCCTTGAAGAGTACATGGACAGAAACTGAGAAGAAACGAAGAAGCAGCAAGTGGTCTGAGCACAGAGACAAAACAAGACTTTTGTTTATGTATACCACTTTTATTCTTTTTTTAATAACTTTGGCTAATTTCTTACCATCAGGGGTATTTTTTCCACCGTAAAGAAAACCAAAAACCAAAAAAAATCCACGTGTGAATTTCGAATGGAGAATATGTATTTGCTTATGTTGTAGGTGACTTCAATGGTCCGTGCAGGACAAAGTCAACTTATTTAGCCTGCGTTTTCCCCCCCCCCCAGTTTATACAACCTAAGGTTTATAGAAAAGTTTTTATTATCAAGTAAAACTGTTCAATGAAGTCGTCCTTCTTCGGTAATTTTTGAGAAAAAAATTGTTGCAGAACTAAAACTTTGAAGAGTGTTGGTGAACTAAAGCAAAAGAACATCTGCATTGTCTGAGCTGAGGGAAATGCAAATGATAAAGAATTGATATAGTAGACTGGATTTCAGTCAGTTTAGTTCTTGCTCATGTCAAAGGTCTCTATTAACAGGCTTGTTACTATTTGTGGATTTTCTTTCAACCACAACTGGAAGACCTGTGCTAAGAATTATAATGAAAGTTCTCATTAAGTCTTGTGTAATATACTACAGCAAAATGATAATTTAACAGAAGTGGCTCAGTAAGAGAGGAGCAGAATTGTAAACAATACTCTTAGAAATTTCCAGCAAGTTTTCTGAAAGGTGGGGAGTTTGGCTATTCGTAGTGGCTCCTACAGGTTTCTTAACGCACAGCCTGTGCAGCCCACAGAAGAAATGGGCTCTGTACTTAGGCTTGTGAGCTCTGTGCAGGCCGAGGCTGCAACTGCCTTGAGCTCTCCTGACTTTGTGTGGGTCTGAGCCGACAATGAGCCCACCCAGGTGGAAGGATCTCCAGTGTCAAGTGAGTGTGTACGCCAGTGCAGGTGAGTTTTTGTATAAAAGCAGGCTTGTGGCTGTGAAGCCAGGCATTCTGAGGGATGAAGAGCTGCTGGTTGGTTTTTGGAGGGTGGTTTTTTTGTGGGTTTGTGTTTGTTGTTTTGTTGTTTGTTTTTTTTTTTCAGATAAGTTTCTGAATAAATGTTTTGAAACAGAAGTTAATTTTTAAGCTTATAAAATCAAGTCTGTAAGACATAGAATAAGCCTTGATGATGTCAGGCAGTATTGCTTTGTGTGTTGCACACCTGGAAAGCTTTTTCCCTCATTCTCATTGTTTTATCCAAATTGTATGTATGAGTTTTCACAATACCACTGCAGATTACAAATAAAAATATGACCAACCCATAAGCTTCAAAAAAATCAGCCAGAATGATACCTAAAAAAAAATGGACAGGCTTGCTGCTGAAGAAACTTAAATAGCTATAGTGTTTAATCTGGTGCTCCTCCATACTACTGATCCAGGGAAATGTGTCAATGAAACTTAGTTATAGTGGTACTTACTTATTCAAACCTGGTCTAGTGATGTTATGATTACTCTGTGCTTAATTAGATTTCTATCTAAAAAGTCAAACCATGGGGGTGGAAAAACTGGGTTCAGAGATGACTAACCAGGAAGACACAGCACAAGCTCTCAGAAGTTCTACCTGTTTTACAGGTGTCTTCCCACATCACAGAATTTTAGCAAGTGGATGGTTCAGTGTCACTGAACACTGCCAGTTTTCTGTGAAAGATAGCTCCATGGATACAAAGAGGGTGGGTATAAGCAAGAGATAAGATCCCTGGGCAGTAGCAGGAGGTGATAAAATGGGCTGAAATCCCTGTGTTGATTGAGATTTGATAGATCAGGCTAGTAGGGAACAGTTGGGCAATGTTTGGGTGCACTCTGTCAGTGCGTCATACAGCCGTTAGATGTCTCTGAACCATGTAAATGTTCAAACTCATCCTGCCCCCTAACAAATAAGGACAAGTCTGGAGCCTGGGCAGTGTGGGCACCTGTTGGCTTCATCTGTGTTTGTTTGTTTAACAAAAGCCTTGTCTGTGGAAGGCTGCCAGCAGTGTTGGTTTGTAAACCTATCAAGTCTTGGCTGAGTCTATACCCTCAGAGACCCAGGAGAAGGCAGGCAGTCTTCAAAGACAGCAGTGGTCGAAGTCACTCGTGTCAGGCACTTCTGAAAGCGTGGCTGCCTCAGGCATCCCTGGGTAAGCTCTGGAGCATTTCTGTAGTGACACAGGCTAGCACTTGTTTGTCCCGTAACAGAACTGGCAGGTGGCCATCGCCAGTGTCACGCAAACCCAAACCCACTTTGTGATCAGTTTAAACTGACTTGCCAGACTGTTAAATTGATGTGCACAGGGCATTATCCTCTGCAGAAAAACTTGCCAGGCAATCAGGGCAGTTACTTCAGCTACAACATGCAGCTTTTCAGAGCTTTGCTCTCCATCCAGAGAGGGTTTTTTTACTTTTTTAACTTCTCCCTTTCTCTGTTACTGTGAGTGCTTTCTGTGGCCACCTCAGTGTGCCTGTGGTTCTTTCCACAGGGATTTGCTCTGGCAGTGATACAGGAGGGAGACCAAAACCAGTATGTGCTACAGGAGGGGTTAAAAAACAGCCCATGCACATACGTACACACACAAAATGTGTCTCTAGTTGCAAAGGGAGGGTTTCAGCCCTGGCTCCACTGCACCAGTGTAAGGACTGAGGTTTCAGCAGAGCTGAGCACACAAATCCTGTGCAGTTAGGTGAACACTAGTCTCTTTGCTCAGAGGGACTGTCCTAAACAGTCCCACCCTGGAGCAGAACTCAGCAGTTTCATGACTGAGGCCTCATTGAGCAGGTTATGGAGGAGTCTCACCAGCACAACTGGCTGAACTAGCTGTTAATGCTTTCCTTAGCCCAGCAGTTTTGTGACTATTTGCCATCAAGCAAGCTTTGTTCAGAGCGAGCAACCTTCTCTTTATACTGTTCAGTTGTAATGGCATGATATCCAAAGAACTGGGGATCAGTGCATAAGCTTTTTGCAAAGTCAGGATCTTCTACTTTACCTCAGATGCTTTTTTTCCCAGCAACTTCCCATTTATTATTCTGTGAACTGTCCTGCTACATAGAATGACAAGTTTGTTCTTAACACAGTAGCATCACTTTATTATCCTTGCTTTCAAGGTCCCAGGCACCAACAGTTGTGCTGAATAAAGTATTAATATCATTAGGAATGCTTTAAAACCCTTAGAATCTTTTCCCCACAAAAACCCAAGCAGATGCCTTAGAAAACTGAAGCAAATGGAAAAGCTTTTTAAAATTCTTGCAAAATTGCTCAGAATCTCTCATTTTAGCAGTAATGACTATGAAAGTACTGGCTATGCTGGACTCTGTATTTTAGGTGGCTTAATTTCAGCTGTTGTTTCAACATATATAGAATACAGCATATCCTCCCCAAATGTACAGCTTTATTTTTTTTTTTAAATGTCTAAATTCACACTCAGTAGTCCCCACAGGCTACCCTCTTAACTGTCCTGGGTCAATAGGAGCTGGAGTGGGACTACAGAAATCCAAAAGCACAGAGAGGTAGTACCAGTCCCTCATCATCATCATATCCTTCCCCGGTAGCATCAGTCTCACTAGGACCCTTCTAAACTGACAGTGGATACAGATGAGCAGCCAGATTCGTGCCTGCAGTTTTGCACTGATCTCGTGAAGCAGAGACAGGCTAAGTCCCCCTTTTCACTGCATTGCACTGCTCTGTTGTATTAGTGAAGAAGCATTTGATTATAAAACAAAAAAAAATCCTGAAACATCCCCCCCCCCCCCCCCCCAAAATAGAGACAAAACTGCATTTCATCATGACAGAAAATACTTATCTTCAAGTTTTCTTTGGGTTTCTGGGTCGATATTGATGTATGTTAAAAGGATGTGGTAATAATCCTCAAAGCATGACAAGTCCAGGAACATCAGAGTTAAGGTTCCACTTGCATCTAAACATAAGAGTAAGTTCATGGCTTAAAATACCTAAATCAAAACCAAAAGTCTGCCCTGGAATAATGTAATTTGCCAGCAGAGAAAGTTTGGGAGGAAAAGTTCTGCATCCTTTCAGAAGAGTTTCAACTCACCTTGGATCACCCTTCCATAAATTGTTAGCTACTGCACAGGGGGCAGAGTTAAGGTTATTTGCACATTTTAACTTATTTACCAATACAATGTACTCCTGTTCTTAAGACACTTTAATTAAATTTGCATAGAACAATGTACTAGTAGCTGTTCTTACCTGGCACTTTTCACTCAAACCTCTCAAAAGTAATTGGTACAGGAGGTAACAGAAATTAACTTTACAAAATACACTGGGGAAAGGTGAACTTAGTGGCAGCTGATGTGTGGTAGAGCTGAAACGGAAGACAGATTGCCCAAATGTCAGTTCAGTAAATAATCCGAGAGGTGACAGCCTCTTCCAAGCTTTCCATTTTTATTGGCCAGATAAAAAAAGTTTGATGTTTCCATCATAAATGGGAATATTTCTTTCCAGTTGAGGTTCTGCTAGCAACAAGAGAGTCCCATTAACTAAAGCATCCCTTTAATTGCAGGTACTTTTTTCAAAATTGTTTTTAAAAAAATAATATATATATATCTCATCCTACATGTAAACTTCATTCCTGTAGACCACTGTAATCCACTGCATTACTCATCTTTGTCATCATCCTTGGAGTTCCTCTGCAGGACAGGACTCAGTTTGTTTTGCAAAACTGCTGCAAGTTTTTTTGAGGTTTTTTTCAGGAAAGCACTTCCAGGATGAACATTACTAACGTGCAGGTATAGGTCCTCTTGCGTGGGGCCTGTGTAGCCGCAGTCTTCGCACACGTAAAGTTTATCTCGCCTCTGTTTGTAGGCATATTGCTGCTGCACACCGTGAATCTTCTTGAGGTGGGACTCCAGGGAACAGCGCTGGGTGAAGGCTTTGTTGCAAACCTCACATTTGTAAGGACGAATTCCTGCAACAGTAAAAGATTGTTCTGATTTACGTTTCTTAAAGCTGGCTTAGGAGCAAGGCTCTGGCAGCTACTGAGCACATATCTAGCAGCGGGGAGCTACTAGCCCAAGGAACTACCTATCTAAATAAAACATCCTACTTTCAGGCTAAGATTTTCAGGAATGGGTTGACATATTTAGGCATAGAAAACCTAGAAATGTTTTGAAAAGGTGTAGGCAGATGCTGATGATAACAGGGTCCCAACTGTGCTTTGGTCCTAAGGATGCCATTACAGCTCTTGCAAAACTTACTCTTAGACCTCTTGACTTTTTGAAGTCCTGTGATTAGGTAAAAATATCAGCTAACCTGTCACTTTGGGTTTTATAATGAATGAAGACTTCTATCTTGGTAAGATTTTGATTTTTCTCTTTTAGTGAGCAAAACTTACTGAGGCTTCAGTGAATGGCAGCCTAGTGTGAATGCCCAGCTATTGCAGTGCTTCAAAGGAGCAAGAGCACTTTTGTACAATAAGTACAATGACTGAGACTACAAGCTCAAATTCTAGAAGAGAAACTCAGTAAGTTGAAAGAAGGGTTGGACTCAATCATCCTTGTGGGTCCCTTCCAACTCAGCATGTTCTGCAAAATAAATCTGTGAAATAAATCTGTGTGTGTCCAGAGGAGGTAGAAGGAGCTGGCTTGTGATTTGAATGCCTGGGCAATTTCGTTCAGTACAAACAACCAACATTACAGAAATACTGAGCAGTAAAGGACATCCATTTTACCACCAATCAACACGGATTTAACAACAACCCTCCAGTACTTAAATAGCTGAGGATTAAGCAATACTTGAAAGAACCTAAACCAGTTGGAATTTTACTTAGTAGACTAGATCAGTAAGTTTTCAAGCAAAGACCAGCCTTAAAACTGATATAAGGAGTTACCTAACTTCCTTTTTTCCCCATGGAAGGTGATACATGACAATCTGGAAGATCAGACCTATGGTGAGCCAGGTAGAAATGGGCAAAGCACGTGTGTCCATTCAGACAGATGTAACTTTGTGATTGCACTGTGTTACCGCTCAGTCGCTGATGCTTCTACCAAAAATCCAAGCTAAACAGAAGTTCCAATAAGCAGCATCTCAACTGCATTTTTGCAAGTCTTGTAAAAAGAGGTTATCCCAGTGCACCGGATTTAACTATCAACACTGAAGTTTCCTAATGCCTACTGCAGTGAGACTGCTTCAGTTACATTAAACTGCAATTGGAGAGAAAGCCCAAACCTTCATTAGGATTCACACACAAAAATGTATTTTTTACAAACAGTAGTCTGGGTGCAGTTTTATGCTCCTCTGAAGGCAATTAGGTTTAAATTGCAGGCACCATCCTTGGTGCCTGCTCCAGTGCTCCACAGGCATGCGTACAAGCACAAAAAAGATAGTGCCAGGATGGCACAGCCCATCGGGACTCTGGGAACCTCTTCATCAATTAGGAATCATTTTAAAATTTTCTTTTACCGTGTATCTTAGATGCTTTTTAATGTTTAAGTCTGCTCATACCCTGAAGCTAGACTGGGATGCCTTTATTCTCTCTGACACTACTGTTGCACAGTCTCATTTCAAACGCTACATGACAGTTTCCACCGAAACACCCACACCCAGTAAAGCACATGTAGATGATCACCTGTAGCTACACAATAAAGCCCACACTACCACTTCCAGCCCATTTGCCTTCTTTTTAATATTCAAATATAGCCCAGCTTTCCTGAACAACAAACAACTTTGATATGAAGAAGGTCACTGCTTTCAGAGATGCCGTATCTCAGCCTGGAAAAGATACACATCAATACAGTATTGGTACCACTGCTGCAGCCAGCCCTCACCCTTGCCATCACCCAAGGCACCAGGCAAATACGGTGTATGTGTGCGTTCATCCTAGTTTTAAGATGGAGAGGAGAAATAGTGACAGCAGATTTCTTCTAGTAAATTTGGGGACAATCTAACTATAAGATTCACATTTCCAGGGTTTTCACTCCTGTCCAGTAAAAGGATCTTTCTCCCCTTCCAGTGTTTCACAAAATTGGTTCCAATCCTGCAAAGAGATTTCAACTTTACCTGCCACGGCTTCTGAACAGAGACTGTCTTGGATTAAGTTTCTTAACCTCAAAGGATGAGGATACAGATCGAAAAATCACTTCTTTTAGAAGCACTGACTCCCCACTTCAGCCATATCCCAGTGGTAGCTCCCTGCTCACACCCAGCAGCTTTACTTTCCAAATGAAAGCTTTGCAAACAAACCAAAACAGCCCAAAACATTGGCTTCTAGCCAACGCCTTCCCATTGAAATGGGCATAATTTTTATGAGTTCTATTGTTCTACTGCTAAGAAACAGCTCCTACCTACTAACTATACTTGTGCCGCCTCTAGCAGTTTAGACACCTGGTTAATGGTGTCTAAGCCAAAGAAAGGGCATTGCAGAGCAAGCCCACATAGTCTCCAGCTCCCATTGGGTAACCACACATCTGGAAAGATGGAATGTGCCTGTGAGATGTGGTGGATGCATCTTCTGGGTGCCCAGCAGTGCAAAGTCTAAGCCTGCTGAGCACAGCCAACCTGACCTGCCAGAAAGCATCACCCTTGGTGAGGATGGGGGTTGACATTTATTTAAGCCACTGCTTCCACCAAGAAAAAGGAAGCAAATCAAAATGGCAGCCTTCTCCCTGCTCCAGGCTGGGATAAGCACTTCTGTAGCAGTGAGCTGGATTTGAGGCAACAGATCTGGTTCAAAGAAACACAACCACCACTATTTGGGATGGACTCGGGAGCTCAATCCACAGCAGAGTGGCCACAGAAAGCATATCCCTCCAGCCTGAGAGAGCAATACAAGAGCAAGAGCAGGAACCACTGTCAGGTGATTTTCAACCAACTGCTCCTGATTTTTAATGCATGCTGTGACCCCACATGACAAGTGAATAAAAATGGTTTAGGCCAGTGGTCAAAGTGATCTGGACAGATCACTTTCCTTCTGACGTGCAGAAGGAAACAGCTCCAAAAGGGAGTTGGAGGAGCTGGTAGCCCAAATCAGGAAGGGATGCAGCATGTAGGGTTAGCAGAAGTCAGGTGTGTTGCCTAGTTTCCCTAAAGAAGCTGCAGGCACAGCATGACCAACACTCTGGTTTCTCCAGACAGTGCGAAAAGCAAGCCACAACCCCATCCTGTGGAATAGCCAGTGGGGAAAGTTCTCAACAGCAAAAAAAAAAAAACCCAGGAAACTGCTGCTCGCTGCCTCTAGAGGGCAAAGCACTTTCATCCACCTCTTGCCTCTGCTTGTCTTTGTGCACTGGTCTCACAATAACGTGTGGTGATTTGCTGTCCCGGGCGGGTTATCCCAGGCAGGTTATCCTCAGTGGGTTATCCCACTCTTGCTGACCCAGGCATTGCAGCATGTGGCTGTGTCTGCATTGAGTCTGGATGTCAGGCGTACACCCGCACTACTTCACATAGATTTCACTAGCTGTTATCAGATTTCATCATTCCCAGGATTTTTCTCTGTCCACACTCATGTCTTCCCCTTTCCTCCACTGCAACTCCACTATTTTTTGCAAACGTTGTCAACCTGGGCTTTGTATCATGGTCTTGATAGCTTACCCTCACCCTCTCCTTGTCCTTATTCCACCTCACCCCTCCTCCCACCTCCTACTCCTCAGAGCCTCCCGTGAGTCCCCAGGGAACGCATTCTCACCAGTATGGGTCCGGACATGTCTTTTCAGATCAAAGGTGTCATTGAAGCCTTTTCCACAGAAGGTGCACAAGTGTCTCTTCACTTGGCTGTGGCACTTGATGTGACGGTTGAGCATTCGCTGCAAGCGAAAGCCTTTGCCACACAGCTCGCAGCTATGCAGTGCAGCATCATTACAGGTGCCAGTGGTAAACTGAGGAATGGAAGATGACTGGGTGAGTGGGCATCGAGATGAACAACAGAAGACCAGCAGAAGAAAAAAACCAAAATAAGGAGGGATGGCTTGTTGTGGCATTAAAAAAAATCTTGGGATATATTAAAAATGAAAAGTGAAAGTATTCAGGAGATTCCTGCTGGGCGAAACATTCACATTTTCCTTGCAATCAAGTGGGGTATTTAATGTGCAGTGGGACTGATGCAACGCTCACCAGCTTGGAATCAGTGATTAAAACAAAGCCTGTGTAGTGGATACCTTCCAGAGGCAACAACCTTTGTCCAGTCACATCCATAAGCACAAGGGCTTAGGCTACAAGCATCTTTCTGTGGGGCCGCCTGTATGTTTGCTCCTGCACTCAGCTAACATCCCGGATGGAGATGGGAAGTCCTCCAAGGTATGAGAAAGTTGTATTATGCAATGCCTTTGCCAATCATGCTTCCAGCTGCTATGGGTCCCAGCAGTGATAAAAAAAGTGGGTTGGAGAGATAAACCTAAGGCACCTTGTGCTAACTCAATAGAGACTGAAACAATGGCACTAATTTCCTTCCGTTGGTCTCCCTGGCTCGTTAATTAACAGCAGAGTGACATTAAGGGGTAATCTCATTCCCACTCCTAGCACCAAAAGTATTGTGCCAACACCATGACCTAACTTGACAAAGGCAGACATTGATGATTCAGCTCTGGGGAAGATCGTTCCTCAGAGGGAAAGCTCAATTTCTGGAAGTTGCAAATACTTCACTGCTAGTTTACCCATTCATGGGAGAACATAGAGACATGCTCACTGATAGACGCTCGGGATGTGAGAAAGCCAGCAGAGCAGGTAGCACCATGCACACACATCCATCAGCCCTCATGGTGCTTTTGAGGAGTTTCTGTGAAACTCTGAGAAAAACCCAACTCTACTGAAATGGGTTGAATGCTGTGACTGTTACTAGTAGCCCAGGTTAAATTATACAGAGTAGGGTAAAATCAAACAGCAGCAGGGCAAGCTCTTCACAAAGACAGGAATACATTTGGTTGTTTTTTTTTCCTGAAGAGCCAATTATTTTTCCTAGTCCTCCTCCTTTGCCTACTACTGAAGCAGTGCTACTTGAAATTGTAAAAAACGGCAGCTGTGAAACCATGAGGTGTGAAACTAGAGGAGGAGCCATCTGGGAAGAATCTGTTGGGCAACAGGGGTATAACTCCTCCTCAAGCAGCTGCATATAACCAGGGTGAAAACATAATGTTAATCATGAGAATATGATGACTGAAAGTCTGTCATCCCACAGAGACAATGGGAATTTTTACAGCTCTGTCCAGCGAAGCAATAGCCAGGGTTTAAGGAGGCGTTAACTACCAGCAGTGAACACATCTCCTTCCTAGGCTGGGTTGGCCTGTCTCCACTTCTGCTGAGGGGACCCTGGATGTTCAGTGCTGTTTGGGAGGTCAGTGTTAAGTTCTCAGTACCATGGGGACCCGAGGCACCATGAGTAATTTGCCTTCTCAGCCTTGGGAGGGAAATCACGGCTCTGTTCTCCTGGTTCTGTCCGAGGGACACCCAGAGATCCTGCCCTTGCAGCAGAGGGGCTCTTCAACAAAGTCAGTGGACAGATAATTGCTTCATTTCACCCTAGGCCGCCAGTCGACCTCAAGGTGGAAACAGCCTTTCACAGCTTCAGAGGAGAACCTTTAATTAGCTGCTATCTTGATAAGTTAAGAGGGTAGGGGAGCAGTGTGAAGCTTCATCCCAGCCCCCCTTGGTGAAGGCTTGACTACAACCTAGAAGGCAGTCTTTAAGGAGGCCCCATGTTAAGGGATGAGATCCACCCACGCACCATGGGGCATGACTCCTAGCTGCCAGGGCTGGTCCTTCCTGGCTGGGTTCAGAGCTCCTGCGGGACCCGAGCCAAGCAGGTCAGGGGCAGCATGTCCCAGGCAAGGATAAGAGAAGGCAAAGGGCACTGGAAGATTACAGTATATCGCTTATGAAGCTTGCCCTGCAGCTGCCATCCTATGGCCAGCATGTTCACGGACCTCTTGCTGTCATCTGTCCTCTCTTGCAGAGACAGCCCAAGGGACTGCTGGCACTTGGTGTCCCTGATCAGCAGCCAAGCCTTGACCTTGAACTGTGGTCACCCCATCACGGGTGGTAAGATGGTTGGGTTGCAGGAGGTTACCTTGATTTTCGACCTGACCACGGGGCGCTTGACGGCCAGGTCCAACAGCATCCCTCCGGCCATGCCCAGGTCGCCGCAGGCAGGCTGGGGCGTCGGGGGGTCGCTGGGCTCAGCATCCCGGGTCCCGCTGCTCCCGCTGCTCTCCAGGCTGCAGCTGTCCTCATAGCCCAGCATCACGCAGCCGATCCCCCCTGCAGCGAGGTGAGGACGCGATAAAGAGGGGGGACCACGGAGCCAGGGGCAGGGGAGGGGACGCAGAAGGCGGGAGCCGCCGGGCCCCGGTGTTTAACCTGCGGGCGGGCCCGCGGGCGGCGGGGGAGGATCCCAGGCTCACGCTGCAATCGGAAACTCAAACACGAACGGTCCCAAAGTTCAAACAAGCCAGCTCCGCCGCCTTCCCGTTATACCCCGGACAAGGGCAGGAGGAGGAGGCCTAGAGTACATCACCCCCGCCGCCCTGGGTCCGTCCTTGTCCTCCCCCCGCCACCTTTCTCATGCAAACGAAGTTTCCCACCTTCTCGGGCACACACACATTCCCCCCGCCCCGCCATCCCCGGGGTTGGAGACGGTGCCAGTCATAGGGGAGGCATCTCCCGGCGGGGGCAGCACTCCTGCCGATGGGAGGGGAGTTTTCCCCCAAGTGTTGCCCACTTCCCCCCCTCCCCGCGTTTAGTACAGTTCTCTCCAAGCCACCGCCCGCCCGCACGCCCGCTCCTTCGGGGCTCCCTCGGCCCAGCAAAGCCCTCTCCCCAACTCTAACCGTCCGCAGCCCGCGGGGGCTGGCGAGGACCCCGGTCCCTCCGTTCCTCCCGGCAGCGACGGGTGCGGGCAGGCAGCCCGCCGGCGCCGTACCTGGGATGTAGGTGTCGGCTCTCTCCTCGTCGGGCAGCCCATCCCAGCTGCGCACTGCCGGCTGCGGGCTCCGGCGCTTCACCAAGAAGGCTCTGGGCATAGTGAGGGCAAGGGGCACGGCCGGGCACGGAGCGAAGCGGCGCTTCACCTCGCCGCCCGCCCGCAGCCCGGCAGGGCGCGGGCGCTGCGCTGCCGTCCGAGGGAGCGGGACCGCACGCACCGGGCAGAGCCGCCGAGGCACGGGGAGGGGAAGGGGAGGGGAGGAGAGGGGAGAGGGTGGGGGGGGAGGAAAGTTTCATAAGGTGGAATAGAAAAATGCACCAGGAAACTTGGGAAGGAGCATGCGTGCTGCAAACATAACGGTGTCAACAAGTCTGCTTACCTGTCCGACCGGTTGGAGCAGCTGAGCTTTGTTCCAGCCCTTCCTAAGGCATGAATGTTTGCAAAAGAATTTAACGTCTGAAAATTAAAAAAAAAAAAAAAAAAACCAACACACGAGGAGGGGAGCCCCGCCGCTGCCGCTTACTTGCCGCCCTGCCGGCGGGGACCCCATGGGGTCGGACCCACTGCCAGCCCCCGCACTGGGATGCCGCGGGCAGCCTAGAGTGCTCACCACTATCGGGTGCGGGTCCCGCCGTCCACGGGGGGCTGCGCTGAGAGCCCCCGGGACAGCCCGTCGAGGGGAAGACTCCCGAGGGCGCCGGGGAAGAGGCCCTCGGGGCAGCAGCCGGAAGAGAAAGTTGTTACTATTTTTCTTAATGACAAGCCCTTCTTCTGTTAAAAAAAAAGCTTTATTCTTTTTCAGTCATTGATTTAAAATTAAAAATGTCTCACAGCCTTTCCTCTCCCCCCACTCCTTGTTTTTTTATTTGCCTCTTGTCCTCTACCCCTCTTCCTGAAGTGGAAATTAAAAAAAGACAAGAGGCTGGGGGTTGGGGAAGGAAGCAAAAGAAGCAGAAGAAAACCCACAAAACTGCACTGAAAAGTCTGCAAGCGTAGCAAATCCTATGCCTGGTGTGGCCTTGGTTATTTAACAGGAGTACCTTCTCCTGCCTAATATTCAATCTGCTTTTTAATTAAATGCAGTGGAAACACACTTGGTGCCTTCCTCCCCAAGCACATCTTTGCAGCAAAGCCAGCACAGGGATGGAGCAGTTGAGGCTGGTGGGACTGAGCACCAAGAGCTGTTTCCCCAGCTTGGTTTCCCTTCAAACTTGGTCACTCTTCTCTAAGGTTTTGGCTCTCCTCCCTAAGGGCAAAGCACAGGCCAGGGGGAATTGATGGGAGTTTCACCGCGAGACAAAAGTTTAACTTCAGGGGCTGGACCTGGAGCCTCTGGAAAGGACACACCTTCAAATGTCGAAGCCAAGTGAAAGACTTCAACTTGACTCAGGTCCTCATTACTCTTTTGGGCTCCAGGGGCAAAGAGGTGTGATCTCTTGTGTGGGTCTGAGACATGGGGGTGTGGGACTGGCTGGACCGCCAGAGCTGGAGAAGCCCCGGCTCCAGCCCCGAGTGCCGCATCAGCTGACACATTGTCAGAGATCTCCTCCAACAATTGGTATTTCCAGCCAGGAAATCTCAGCCATGAGCCACAGCAGCCCTACCCACTGTTTTGATAAGGTCTAATTGAGCAACACACAGGCACAGACATCTTTATCCCAGCAGAGGAGTTACCCCACCGCTCAGCACTTTGTCCTCTAGAAAGGCTTTTAAGCCCTGACCGCTGACCCACGAGATAGGCCCTGGGAGTGGCAGCAAGGACTGGGGGCACTTACTTGCTGCCCCTACTCCTGCAGGTACCAGTAAGAAGCCACCTCAGCATGCCTTCCGGCAATACCTCAGCAATACCACAAGTAAAACCTTCTCTTTCTTTCTCTTGAAGGCTGTGTAATTTCTCTGTTATGTCTGAGATTTTGCTCCAGGACAAAATGCAGCTATGTGGGGTTTAATTGATTTTTTGCAATGCTTTCAACTTGAAATTTCTTTTATTTTAATGATTCCTTGTCTTTTAAGCCAAAAGAGGTAGTAAATGACATTAATCACAATGCTCCCAAACCAAGAGACAACTTCACTGTCATCTGGGCTTTCTCAAATCCTGCTTTGAGGTTTCTATTTAATGAGGTCCTGGAGGACACACTTCACTTACAATTCAGATGTGCACTCACAAGCACAGCTGAATCAGGAACTAAGTTATTATTATGAGCTCTGGAGCCTTGACATGAGTGGGCAGTGCTGAGGTGTGCCCACCACCACTGTAGACACAGAGTGGAGAAAGTCTTGCAGCCTCTGGCAAGGCAAGAAGAGCTGGATGGAGAGACATCAGCTACATGAAGTAGAGCATCTCAGTGGTGGTAGGCTGCCTTCCCCCTGAGCTAGCAGGTAGAAATACAGACTGTTGACCAAGCCTTGTTGTTGCTTGGCCAGAGCCCATAAGAAAACCATACTGCCTTTTCTAAAAGTACCATTCCTTGGTATTTTCTAACCTGGAAGAGCCTGGGGAGCATGCTCACAGCACGATCCCACCAACACTATTGCAGGGAGCCACATGCAGCAGCATGAAGCGGAATCCTTGGGGCCACACTGTCTTCGGCAAGGCAGCCCACAGACATGTCACTATCTGTGTCTGTGGGCTGCTGGTGTCCTTCTCCATACACCCACTGAAGTGATGTTGCACGTAGAGCCCAAGCACTGTAATCACTCAATAAATAATTACACTAATGAGATAATGGCACACAAAGATTTCTATAGGATCTTGTTTAATTTTCAGCATTACTTGAGTGTGGGAGAAAATTCAGTTCATTAAATTAACATTTTGGGTGGAAATCAAATTAAGCGTACAGAACATCCTGTAGAGTCAAAGCACAATGGGACCCCCCCTTACAGATTTGACTACTAAAATTTATTTCATTTCACTCAAATAATTTGTGAGTGAGGAGGGAGAGATGGAATCAAACAATGAATCAGCCATGTGTTGCAGTCACAATCAAACCCCGCTCCTTCCCAAGCTAACCCTGTGGGGAGATTGAATTGATGGCCATGTGCGAGGAGCAGGGGGACTTGTCCCTTCTGGAGGACCCCATCTCGCTGCCAGCCTCACCCCTATTGATACGGCACCTAGAAAGAAGTGGGGAAAGCATGCTTGGGGGCAAGGACCTGGGTGCAGGGAGCAAGGGAAGGAGGCTTGAGAAGAGCAGAGGAGAGATGTTCAGTAAAAGAGGTGTAATGAATATTTTAGTTGTGATCCTGAGAAGCCCTGTCCTTTCTTCTTCTTGCCTGGGCTACTTTTCATCATGATCAGCATGATGCAGCTGCAGAGGGACATGGCCTGGGCAGGGACATGGGTTTGATTGCACAGCCCAGCAGAGACGAACACTGTTGAAAGGCACAGTCCCTCAGCAATGCCATGGCAATGTCTTAGAGCATGGAATCCAGCAAAGGGACCTTCACACTCAGCCCCCAGTGGGATCTTGCCCCCAGCCATCACTCCTCCTGTGCAGAAGTGGAGGGACTCCAGCAGGTACACCTACAGGGGCTGGGGATACTCTGCCCACAAGGCTGACAGTAGTCACCCAGGGCCCTATTTCTGTTGCTTTCTCATGATTTTGATCCAAATCAGGCCAGACAGAGATGAGACCCTGGCTGGTACAGGAGCCTGGCAATGCAACAGCGTAACCTTCGGTTTCTGGCTCCCACCAGAACTCAGGTGGGGGGGATTTATACAAGTTTACTGACCATGAAAGAAAGGCCACAGCTTCACGTCCTTGGGAAGATGAACCTTTGTTGTCTGTGTTCTGTGATGTTCTTGAAACACCAGGGCTGGGACATCTGGGCTGCTGCAAGTCACTCAAACACCCAGCTGACACCCCCTTGGCTGGTGAACCCTCATGCTGCTCTTAAGAGATATTTTGTGAGACATGAAGAGGAGGCTGGGTGTCAAAACTTTGCCCAGTTCTCTGCAGGAAACACCCTGGTGTGACACCCCTTCCTTGAAATGCTCTGCATTTCTCCATCCGAGGTGGGATGCTGAGCATGGAGGTCCTTGCAGCACCCAGGAATGGGCACCATGAGACCACCAGGAGCCCTGGGTTTGCATCCCAGCCACATTACAGAGAGAGGGTTCACAGAAGGAAGTATCTCTTTCCTAGCCTTTCTCAACCTGCTGCCTCCCTGGATTATCCAGTGGAGGACGAGCATGTCATAGGGTCTTTCAAGGATTGTGGGGACCTCTGAGGACCATGTCTTAAAAGCCCACAGAAAAGCACAGAGGAAATGTCCCCCTGCTCTAGAAGAAACCTTCACCTGGGGTACATGCTGTTTCCAGCCCCAGCTTTCCTTCTACCTGCATGACTGCCCTTGGTGCTGCAGCTCAGCATCTGCCTGTGAAGAGGCAACACACTCCTGGAGACGCTCCTGTCCAGCCCGCCCCGCACCCCATCGCATGCCTGCAGCACCAGCATGACTCAGATGGGTTTCAGCAGACGCCTGCAAACACACATCATGCCTTGCTGGAGGGGTTGCCCTTGTCTCTGAGAGCAGGTTCCCACCCAAAGCATGGCATCTCCAGGAGGTCTGGGGGATGTGAGCATTGCTGGGGGTGGCACAGACTGACAGAGCAAAGCTACTGCCCTAGTCATGCCTGCGCAACACCCTCTGTGCTGCCGCCTTGGGGCCAAGCCTGACCACTGGAAAGCTGTGCTTCCAAGCCAGGTTTTGGCAGCTCTCCTGCTTAGATGAGGAACCACTTCACCACAGCGGACGGAGACAGAGTGGCTCCACGCCAGCATTATCTTGGAAGGAGAGAATAGCAGCTCCACAAGTTGCCCCAGTTTGGAGGGTGATCTGCTTTCCTTGACTGAGCAGGGAGAGATGGAGAAGGTGCCAGCTGGGGGAAGATGGCTCCCCAGGCTGCAGCAGAACCTGCCCTGCCTGTGCTTCCCTGCTGAGTTTCAAAGAACCCCACCAGGCTGACTCATCGGGCTCCTGTTTCCCTGCCTCCCACGGACCCTGCCACTCCCAGCGTCTCCCTGTCTTTCTCCACCTATACCTCTGCTCCCTTCCCACTCCCCCCGTCAGCTTGGCGCTGTCTCTCTGGCTGCCCAC